AATCTGACTTTAAACCCTACTTGTACAAACTGCCTCTGGAACTTGGCACTTTTCATCAGCTGTTTAAACTTCTTGGTACGGAAGACGTTGTGTCAACCAAACAGTATGTTGAAGTGCTGTGGCGAATTTACAGAAGTTCAGAGGGCAAGCAGCTTGACCCAAATGAAATGAGAACTGTGAAAAGAGTTGTTTCGGGATTGTTCAAGTCCCTCCATAATGATCCAGTGGAAATTCGCAAAGATCTTGAGAGTCTCAGAGATTTGATATTTTATCTGCCAAGTCATGATGGTAGATTAGCAAAATCCAATAGCCTGGTGTTTGATGATGCCCCACACTACAAGAGCAGAATTCAGGGTAACGTTGGAGTCCAGATGCTTGTGGACATGAGCCAGTGCTATCTGGGCAAAGATCATGCCTTCCACACAAAACTGATCATGCTACTTCCACAGAAACTAAGGCCTAGACTTTTGAGTGGCATTCTTGAAGAGCAGCTCGACGAGGATTCTCCAAGAATGTGCCAGTTTGGAGCTCTTTGCTCTCTTCAGGGTCGCCTTCAGCTGTTGCTGTCATCAGAGCAGTTCATCACAGGACTGATCAGAATAATGAAACATGAGAATGACAACGCATACCTTGTGAATGAGGAAAAAGCCATACGTCTCTGCAAAGCACTCTGTGAAGGACTGAAAGTCTCTTGCTTTGAGAAACTCCAGACAACATTAAGAGTAAAAGGATGTAGCCCCATTCCACACAGCCGCAGTGAAACACTTGCCTTCCTCAAGAGATATGGGACGGCTGTGATTCACCTCTACATCCAGCATTCAGACAGCAAAGACATTAATTTTCTCTTGGCACTGGCTATGACATTGAAGTCTGCTACAGACAATTTGATTTCAGACACATCCTATCTGATTGCCATGCTGGGCTGTAATGACATCTACAGAATCACAGAAAAGCTGGACAACCTTGGGGTTAAGTATGACTCAACAGAGCCTTCAAAACTTGAGCTACCACTCCCTGGAACCCCCATACCAGCTGAGATACATCACACACTCCTCATGGATCCCATGAATGTATTTTACCCCGGAGAGTATGTGGGTTACCTTGTAGACTCTGAGGGTGGAGATATATACGGGTCCTACCAGCCTACCTATACATATGCCATCATTGTTCAAGAAGTAGAGAGAGAAGAGGACGATAACACAAGTTTCCTCGGGAAATGCTTCCAGATTGACATTGGTTATAGTGAGTATAAAATAGTCAGTTCCCTCGACTTATACAAATTCTCAAGACAAGATGAAAGTGCCCATGCAAGAGACACCAGTGCCCCATCACCACCTACAAGCCCAAACAGGCGATCCTCTGGTCCACAGTTGATCCCTCCTGTTTTTTCTGGCAAGGAAAACCTCAGACCTCCCCCTCAAAAACAGTCTCCAAAAAAGATCAAACTTCATGCGTTGCCTGAGATTCTGAAAGAAGTTACCTCAGTTGTTGAACAAGCTTGGAAGCTTTCTGAGACAGAAAGAAAGAAGATAATCCGCCGACTGTATCTCAAGTGGCATCCAGACAAAAACGCAGAAAATCTGGACATTGCCACGGAAGTCTTCAAACACTTACAAAACGAGATCAACAGGATGGAGAAACAGACTTTGGCTGATCAGCAAAATACAGACAGAGCTTCCAGGAGATCCTTCTCCACATCATCATCCCGTTTCCAGTCAGACAAGTTCTCATTTCAAAGGTTTTATTCATCGTGGAACCAAGAAGCAACAAGTCACAAGTCAGAAAGGCAACAGTTCAGGGAACATTTTACAAGCTATGCAGGTTCGTCACATTCTCACCGTTTCTTTGTGCCCCCTACTTTTAAGACAGTTGGAAACCCTGTGGAAGCTCGCAGATGGCTGAGGCAAGCAAGAGCAAACTACTCTGCTGCTCGGAATGATCTCCACAAAAATGCCAATGAGTGGGTTTGTTTCAAATGCTACCTGGCCACAAAGCTTGCACTGATCGCTGCTGACTATGCAGTCAGAGGAAAGTCGGACAAAGATGTGAAACCAACTGCTCTGGCTCAAAAAGTGGAGGAATACAACTCCCAGTTAAAAGGCCTTTCAAATGATGTCCAGATCCTGGAAGGATATGGCGTGGACAGCCTGAGAACTCGCTATCCTGATCTCCTGCCATTTCCACAGATTCCCAACGACAGATACACATCGGAGGTGGCAATGAGAGTAATGGAATGTACCGCACGGATTATCATTAAGCTTGAAACCTTTGTGCAGCAAAAAATATAATACTGTTGTTAAAGATGACAATGAAACTACAGTATGCATAGATCCTCTGTGGAGTAGAGGACACACATGGCTGTCTGCAATACAGATCGTGTGTATCACTTTGAATAAAATTGAAGTATCCAGCTGGCAGCTTCTGGTACATATGCAGTTTCTACCTGCTATGGTGGTGCTGTGGCCCATGCACAGTAAATAAATGTATGGCTCCCATAACCCTGTAGGCTGTCTCAATATACATCTGCTGTAATATGTGAAAAAACAACTGCATATGCTGTACATACAAATGCCTAAGCAATACGTTTTGTTTACCAAAGTCCCCACATTGACTGTATTCGCTCTGAGTTAGATTTAAAAAAAAAAAATGCTGCTTTTTTTACTTTATCTTTTATAAATAAAAAAAATGTATAAATATATATTTTCTTGCTACAGAAAACCAGTTGACTGTACTGAGAGGATGCGCTTATGATGAAGAAATAGAGAAACTCTGTATGTCAAATACTGCAAATACTGTCATGCAAGTCAAGGAAATTACAATCATGTTTGTAAATTTTCTTTTTTGTATTTTTATGGTTGATTTCATATCATTTCTCTACAGGTTGTAAATTTTTCTGTAACATAGCCAGTCACTTGTTTAAGGACAAAGCACTTTTTTGAAACTCCTCATGTACTTGCACTGTAGAGCGCTTGTGTCAACAACTCGGGAGAATCCAACTGTGAATGGAAAACTCATTGTTACTTTAAATGCAGTTTTGTTTGTTGTTTTTTCATTGGGGATATGTTTTGTTTTGTTATGTTAAATGTTTGCTGTGCTCCATACAGTAACATTTGCTGACAGTTCTGCATCATTACCTGTTCAAATGAACCATGTGTATTCTGGGGGCCCTACAGCAAGTCTGCTTTGATGACTGTAGTTTTGGATAGGGCAGCGATAACTGTAGCTCAGCTTTTGCTTAAACAAGTCATCCAAGAGTTGTTTCTTTTTACAATGATGGTTTGTTTGAGGACACTCAGTAGGCCAGTGTGATAAAATAAAGAGCCATATACAGTATATACTTTCATTAGGGCACAACATCTTAACAAGTTAACTTTTGCCAGCATGAAACCACGTTCATACATTTTTGATAATTTTAACTTTTCCAGTTTAAGGACATAGATCAGCACCAAACTGTGGTGCTCGCGTGTTTTTACCGTAACTTTGGCTTTATTTTACCTTTAATTTGAAGGACTGTACACACATCGACCACATAATGTAAATGTCATTTTCAAACATAATTTAAAATGTGCTTCTTGGTATCTGTTGTCTTATTACACCTCAAGCGAGAGGTGACTCAGCTGAGATTGTCTCCTCGAATTAACTGTGGAGAATCTTGTGTATCATACATGTTGATGTACATTGTGCCATAGGAAGGCCTAATAAATTCCCCTTAAATAAACAATGTCAATTTCTGTTACTAATAACGTTACTAATCTGTATATTAATTTTTTTTTTTTTTTTTTTTTTTGCATCCCTTTTAAATGTTTTATTTCACGTGTCTTAAGTTTGCAAATATAACAACCTATTTGTTCTTGCAGGTGAAGAAATATGAATTCAGATATAATGTACTTGATGATAATATTGTTATTTGATTGACTCAGCTGGCCAGAGTGGCTAATATTTTATTTTAGAGATAAAGTTCACTTGTAAATTTGTTTTTAGAGTCAAATGCACACGTACAAAAATCAGATTTTCTGACATTATATTTGTTTTGTTTTAATCTTTTGAAACCTGGAGCAACATCACTTTTCTCATGCTGCTTTCAGACACCTTTTGGAAGTAGTTAAACCTTTGAACACTGAGCAAGTTGGTGCGATTTCTTTCAGAAACATGGGAAAATAGGCAATGAGCTATTTGGTGAGAAATATCCCACAAATTGCAAAAAGAAAAAATAGGTTAAGAAAATTATTTAAGAAAAACAATAAGGGAAAAGAAAAGATCTGGGGAAAAACTCTATCTATAATTATTATTATTACATTTTAAAATTGTGTTACAGAATTGTTATAATTTTTATGCACTCTTTCCAGGTTATTTCCTTGTTTGTTTGTTTGTTTTTAACTTTCTGTCTCTCATTTTCTTTCTTTTTTTATCCTAATTTTCTTGTTTTTAATTTTCTCTTTTTAAACCAATTTCTTGCTATTTTTTGAGTCTTTTTTTTTCGTTGCTTGTTGCCTTCTTCCCATGTTTTTAAAAGAAATCAAGCCAGTTTGCTTAGGTTTCAAAGGGTTAAGTCTGAACAATTGTAAGCAACCATTGGATTTGGAAAAAGTTGAATTCAGAGCCAGATCTGACACTGAAACAAAGGCCATAAATCTGTGCTGCAACAAAAACCCAGTAGGACCCACTGAATAAGATAAGAAAATTTGCTCTCTTAGCCTGCAACTGCGAGTCCTCTGGGTTTGTGCTGATGCTCATCTACTTTGTGCATCCTGATGGTACTGCAGAGCTTTTCCACTAGAGTGCACCAGAGAGCCAATAAACATGGTTAGGAAATGATCAGACCTGTATCCATCTCTGTAGTACATCTTCAGTGCACCACAGAATACAAGAAACAGTGGACATTGAAAAATGATATACTGAATTTAAAGCTGTAGCCTTTTTGTTCCTAAGATTTGATTAGAAAAACCTGACACCAGTCTTCAGAGGAACAAGTACATGCAAATGAATAGCTCTGACACATATAAAAGAATAGCACAAAGTTTATTCAACATACAAAATTAATAAATACACATTACACACCTTATCAAAATATGCCAGAACATGTGTGAGAACTGCAAAATATCTACTTCAGTCAATACTGGCAATGATAACGCAACGCCATGAGATATTACTTATGCTATAAACAGTCTGATGCTAAACTGAAATATACAAAATATTGCCCTTTGACGTAGTGAATGAAAATCTTACAGATGCACATGTTGATGACCTGTCATGCATTCTCTGTAAAAACAAAAGTATATTTGACCCAAAATGCAAAGTAAAACTGAAACAACAATCCCACTATTTTTCTCACTCAGAATCCTAATCTACAGTATTATAGATGGGTTGTTGTTGCTTCCATGTCGCAGTGGTCAGATGTAATGTTCTGTTAGTCACAGACCCTCGGCTGTAAACACAGACCAGCTTACTTGCAAAAAAATCCTGTCTTGTAGCTAATGCCTAACTGCATGCTTATGCGAGGTTTAGAATTAATACAGGCAAATCATACATAATCTTTTAAATGTAAAAAGAAAACAAAAAACCAAACACATAATTACAATAGTAACACTTTATGGTACCATAACATGGTGGTATATTCATCTCAAACCTATAAAGCAAAATAAGAAACAAGTCTGCTGCCTAGTTGCATCTGAGCTTGAAAAAAAAAAAGATAAATCCACCTCTAAATCTCTGACGTGACAATGATAACTAAATATTAACCAGCATTTTTCATCCTCCCTCCCCCCTCCCAATTAAATAAAAACATGCTAAACACTAAGACAAAAACTCCTACATACCAAGAGCTTGGAGCCAGATGGACGTATGTAAACCAAAATAAATATTTTAAGTAACATTCAGTCTGCATTTTAGAGATATTTGATTATTCCAAGCCCTTGATATGTGTCATGTTTTTCTATTTATTGCACCACATATATTGCATAGGATGTAAGCTGTTACCAGCTCCTCATAGCCCAGCCATAACACTGTGTGTGTGTGTAAAGAGAAAATCCTCCACAAAGCTCTGATGCAGATAAATTTGGAACTGAGTAGCAATTTCTTTCAGCTGAATGGTTAGAAGGTCATAAATGCAACTAAAAGGATGCATTTCATGACATCTCCAACATGTACGCCAGCAGGCATTTGTATTTTTACAGGCCTTGATGTGCAAGTGGGATCTTAGCTCTGAGATCATCACAGACCCACTGTGGTATAAAGATTTAAAAAAAAAAAAAAAAAACACTCAGGCCAGATATAAACAGTTGTGCTTGTTGCCTCCCAGTAGATGCATCTACTGAGAGATGGGAAATCGATTACCTTGTCAGAGTCTTTCTAGCACTCCTGATTCTCACTGCAAGTGGAGGTGACCCCAGCCTTGGACAGGAAGAGCTTGCCGCTGGGACAGACGCAGACCTCGTAAAGACCCTGAGCGTTTCCAGAAACCCCTCCTTCGCTCAGGGGCAGGCTCGGCATGCGCACAGTCTCAGCATCCAGTACCAGCTGCACGGCAGACAGCGTAGAGAGCAAGGACGTTACAAGGAGAACAACAGAGATGCACTAAATCAACAAGAAAATATCACTGTACGTAATTCTTTCCACTTAAGGCGAGTGCATATAAACACATGATACACAGTATGCTGGGAGGTAGAGGGATGTTCAGTGAGTTCATAAACCCTGCACTGATCCCTAAGGAAGATACAATAAAGAGGATGTGACACTGAGTCCACATTCCTGTGGCAGAAAACCAGAAAATGTGAGCAGTCACATAACTTTCACTATTATCCGTGACAAGTTCAGTGCAGATTAACACCCAGTTTTCTTCCCCAGAGCAAGAAAAGACACGAGGGTGTGTTATACCCTGCAACTATGGCGTCATATAAATGTGCAACTTTACTGAGAATGCATTAAAAAAGGTCAAAACAGTGCTTCACTCTGCCATTTAGCCACACCACAACAATTTATCCAGTCCTAGATTCAGCCACAATCAATCACCAAAGCTCACTCTAAACAATAACATGGAAACTGCAAACCGCTACACCACAACAGACCTACAGAGCCCAGATAAATGTTTTGTAAGTTAATGAACCCGTTACAGTTGCCAGATGAGGATCTCGGGGCTTTTCTTGGCTCCATGAAGAGCTCCTTGTGTTTAACTCTGCTGGACGTCCACAGATACAGTACAGTACAGTATAATATAATACCAGTGTTCTTACCTTTACAGCCACACAATGGATATATGTTACATTTTACAACGCACCAAAGTAGAAATGTAAAAGCAGAACTGGTCTAATGAGCTCTCTCAGGGCGATCTGGAGGTATTCTGGCTGAACAACTCCAACAAATGGAAAAAGCAAAGCTACTGTCAAACTGCACTTGAGTGAGGCTCGCTTGGATGAAAAGCTCCCAGGTGTGACTGTCAGAGATTACACAAGCGTGAAGCAGCATGTTGTTCCAAAAGCATACTGTCTATATACCCTTAATCAAAAGAATAAACAGAAGTTGTTGCGTAGAAGACTTCAGGAAGTGAACACAGTTGTTCTTACCAGCCCTATACTCGACTGCAGGATAACATCCATGTTGGAAGCAGCCTCGATGTTGCCAGCCAGCGCTTTGAGATGAACTCCTTTTGGCGCGTCCATACTGAGGGAGCGGGTAGGAGACTCCAACCTGAAGGAGAGCAACTCATCATAACAAGCGCAGCTTTCATCCACATTATATAATCGAATCCTCTGCAGTTTCACTCTACACAGTCTGCACCTCAGTGGTGACAGGGTGATGTTAAGGGAGGTAAAATTACAGACTTAAGAGTGACCTTGACACTTTGTATTTCTTACGTGGATGTCAAACATACTTGACCCGATCAACTGAACATTCTGAATATCTTTCTAATACTTCCACGTGACTTGTAGTGTTCAAATATCTGGTCTGGTTTGACAGTCATTTAAGTCTTGAGCAGCTCGTCACAAAGCTAGTGCAATCATGCTTTCATGATCTTAAGACATATTTTTTAAAACAAATCCATTTTAACTTTTAAAGACAGGGACAATTTTACACACCTTAACCTCTTTGCGTCTGGATCACTGCAACAGCCTCTTTTTTTGCCTGAATCAAAAATCTATTATTTGACGCCAGAATACAGAATTCAGTTGCCAGGTGACGTGATCACATCACTCCAGTTTTAGCCTCTGTACACCAGCTCCCAGTATGTTTTAGAAAATATTTGAAGATTTTACTCATCGCTTTTAAGGCTCGTCATGGCCTCTCTCTCAGTTATATCTCCAACATCCTAGTGCGGTACACACCAGGACACAGTGTTTGTTGTCAGGGCCCCAAGGTTCTGGAACGGTTTGCCCGAGGAAATCAGGGTGGCCGTGTCGGTGATCTCTTTTAAAGCCCTTCTTAAAACATACTTCTATCGGAGAGCCTTTTCCCGATTTTTGAGTTTTAAGTGAATTTAAACTGTCTTTTATTTCCTCAGTTTTTATATACCAAAGTGTTTTTATCAGTTCTTTTAGAAGTTCTTGTTTTTGTGTCTTGTCCGTTTATTGACATGTAAAGCACTTTGTAACTCTATTTTGAAAAGCCTTTGTAAATAAAGATTATGACTATTATGATTATTATTATACCCACAGATCTGACAAAAAGCCAGTGGAGTATATAGGAAAGTATCCTCCTTGGTAACCTACCTGTCTATAGTAGACCCACCTCATCAACTGCACCACTGATTATCCAACAATATGACCCATACAAGATGGCTGACATATTCACCTCAGGTCTTTCAGCAGTTCAGATTTCAGCAGTGGCACCTCCACTGAATGCTGGAACAATGCTCCTTCAGGTCCTGATGAAGAAAGAGACACTTCAGAGGTGGACTCAAGGTGCATAACAGAACACACACATGTAGTCTGATCTGATATAATCATGTGCAATATTTTTTAATACACTCTTAAAAGCTCTGATGATATGTTCATCACTGGAATAGCCTGCACAGTTTCTGTGATTTCCAAATTTCCTGCTATCTTGCAGTCAAAATAGACCAAAATAAGGGATTAAAATAATATGCAACTACTTGAAAAGAGCATCTAATGAGCTGTTAGACATCTGCTGCGTTTGAGCAAAACATTTAAATGTTTACCCATGCTAATAGCGTGGCTCCAGAGATGTTGGTCTGTTGATTAGCGCACCACTTTGATCCAGACTGAAATATCTTATAACTATTACATAAACGGTATCAAGTTAAGTAGACATTCATGGTCCTCAGAGGATGAATACCGACTCTGGTAAGAAACGATTATCTTATCTCATCTCCCTGGTTTCACCTCTAGCACCACCAGTATGCCACATTTTTGAGCCTTTAGTGAAATAACCACTTTGTGTTTTGTGCTAATGCTAACATGCTAAAGACAAATGGTGCATCTCAAAGTCAAGGATTCTTCCTTGGTCAGGTTCCTACAGAGGTTAGGAGAGACTCCTTCTTGGCATTCGGTGAATACACATTAGAACAGGCTAGCGAGTGCCCAGGTGTGTCATTGAAGAGGCTCCACCTTCATTTAAGGCAAACTGTGCATGAGGAATTGTGGGTACTACATGCCCACTGAGGATACACACATGCATCCTTGAAAATTCTCTCAAGGAAGGACTCAGTTCCAGCAGAATTCGAAGGATCCTTGACACTGGAACAGTCCTTAAGTGGGATTTGATCACGCAGGCTCCTTGAAGTTCAGCCATTTAAGGATCCTATCTTGACTTTGTAAGAACAGTAGCCTAAACCTGATTCACGCCAGGATGTTAGACTCCTTATCGGGTGCATGTTAACATGAGGACTTTAACATTTAGCTCAAAGAGCTGTCCGTACAGTCTCACAGAGCTGCCTGTGTGGCTGTACTCTGTCATGTTTTCACTGTGCGTTGCTTCATTTTATGAAGCTTGTTTTTGAAAAGTAAGAGCAGGCTGCTCTCTGTGGAGCACAATGACCTCGGGCATAATGAGGCTATCAGCTGACACTCCCTTCGTCATTAATCAGCCGTCAGAGTGTGGTCAGTGACCCACAACACAATCAATACACACACTGGACACTGAGAGACAGTGAGGGAAAGCAGGACAGAACATACAACGTGGGTGGCTTAGCCTGATAGCCTGTTATACTGTTTCTTTCATCGCTTGGTTGTATGATATGACATACTGTGTAGTACTGAGGTGTGATATTCTTTTGTCGGCTCAAAACTGTAAATGAAAAGACGCTTGATTGGAATAGATAACTGAGTTTCTAAATTGGTGCAATTTAGAGATATCCACACACTCGACTGTATTCATGAATGATTACAGAAATGACTTCATTTGTCTTTGTCCTTGGCTGCTGGATTGTTGCACAGATACCTGCCATCAAACCAAATTACTCCTGTTGAGTTCACATCTGTTGTCAATATTATCTTTTTTTTTCCAAATCTGAAAAAAAATAATAATCGCCACGAGGTGTGCAGTATTTCCATGGAAACAGCAGGTGGCAGCCGTTGGAATACCTGTGACTCGTAGTTTGTCTGGTCCAATCACAGCCTGGTCGCCATCTGCAGTGAACAGCATGTTGTCATTGTGGGAGTTAATGAGCAGATTCCGAGCGTGTCCCTGAGCCTCTTTTGGGCCTGCAACAACAAAAACAACAGCAAGAATACCTGAAGGGGTTTGGCAATGTTACATGGAGATAAAAGAGTCAAAATCAAATCTTTGTCTTCCTGTTTTACTTTTCAAATCTGCAGTGCTGCGAGAATATAATGAGGCATGCTTTGTTGTGTGACAATTTCAAATTTCCTCACAGGAAGTGGCAAAATAAAAGAAATGTGTAGATTAAAAATGTGTAAATTCACAAGGTAAATCAGTGACCATACTGCTCAAACTGGCAGATAATGTATCTGAGGTCTTTCGACTTTAGCCCTCTCTACATTAATCCTCACAGCTCTGTGAGAGGCAAATCTAAAGCAGGTAGATCAGCAAGCGAGATATTTAACCCACTTTATCACTTACAACTGTGAACCGGCATGTCATCTCCTCTAACAAGCATTTTACTTTTATTCACAGAGGGCCGAGAGGATGCAGGTTATGCTTTTTACGGCTTAATGATCAAGGACACATAATGGCACTGTGGAACACGGCAATTAGCTGGGTCATTTGTTGGCCTTTTAATTATGACAAAACACTCCAATGCAGCCGTTGGTGAGCCATAAAAGACACACAAATATGATCCTCCACAGGCCCCGGGCCCTCTGCGTAATATAGAACGACCTAGAAGCAATGGTAGACAGAGGAATGTTGCATTTAATGGATTTTAAATGGAAATCGAAGAGAATATAAATGGAAGGATGGCTTCTTGTCACTGTTAATGTTAGATGAGAAATTGCTGCAGGACAAGTGCATGAATGACTTTACTATCGCCCTCATACATCAATGGGATACTTTGTTATGCATGAGTGCTCTATGTGTCTCTCTGTGTGTACATGTGTCCTCTTTCAGGGCCCTTACCCACAGATATCCGCCCCGTGACATCACCGTTTTCATTGCGGGCATTAAGGGAAACATTTTCCGATGAGTGCACTAGAAGTGAAGAGTCCTGGAAAAAAGGGAGGGGGAAAGGCAATTTTAACATGCTGCGTATGTCCAACTGATACACATTTGTAACATAGAGATTAGAGAATAGAAATCAGTTTTTTATGTAAAAGAATATTTAATATTTTCACAACTTGGTTGAAATTAGGTCATGTTAGTTTATGACCAAATGCCTGTGGAACTGACATTCCCAACAGCCTTAGTTCTATTGTGTAGCTGTACTTTTTTGTGCTAATTAGAAAGTGTTAGCTCAACTGAGATGGTGAACATGGTAAACATTAAACCCTCTAAACACCACCATATTACCATTGTTCTTGTGAGCATGTTTGCACGCTGACATTATCATTTAGCACCATTGTGCTTAAGTACAGCCTCACAAAGCCACTAACATGGCTGGAGACTCTTGCTTTGTCTTTTTTGTTTTGGATTGCCGCCTTTGATTTGGGAGTGAGTTGCTGCCCCAAGCAGAGGAGTTAAAGTATCTCAGGTCTTGTTCACCAAGTGAGGGTAGAATGGAGCATGAGACGGTCAGCGGTCTGCAGTGATGTGGGCGCTGTGCCGGACCATTGTGGTGAAGAGGGAACTGAGCTGGAGGGAAAAGCTTTCAATTTACTGGTCCATCTACGTCCCAACCCTCACCTATGGTCATGAGCTCTGGGTAGTGACCAAAAGAATGATATTGCGGATACAAGTAGTCAAAATAAGTTTCCTCCGTGGGGTGTCTGGGCTCAGCCTTAGAGATAGGGGAAGGAGCTCGGACACCCAAAGGGAGCTCGGAGTAGAGCCGCTGCTCCTATATGTTGAAAGGGGCCAGTTTTGGTGGTTCAGGCATCTGATCAGGATGCCTCCTCGGCGCCTCCCGTTGAAGGTATTCTGGGTACGTTTTACTGGTAGGAGGCCCCGAGGCAGACCCAGGACAGCTGGAGGGATTGCATATATCATCTGGCCTTGGAACGCCTTGGAGTCCCCCAGGAGGAGCTGGAAAGCGTTGCAGGGGAGAGGGACGTCGGGGGTGCTTTGCTTGGCCGGCTGTCCCCACGACCCGGCCCCGGATAAGTGGTTGAAAATAGATGGATGGATGGAGACTTACATTATTGTAAAGATCCTTTATTAATGACTTAACATTTGAGATCATCGTGCTGAAGGAGGTTATACAACAACCAGAGAGACTTTTCAACCTATAAATTTGGTTGAAATGAAAATTGTGTTGACGATATTTTAAATGTCTAACGACATAAGAATTTCACGTTGTGTGGATGCTAACATTATGACATTTTGCAGACGTTGGGTTTTGTTCTCCATACCTAAATGTTGTTATGCTAGTTCAAAGTGATGTTGGCATGAGATGTTGGATTTTCGTTGCTTGACAATCAGTGTCATCTGTCGTCAGCATACTACGTCAAATTGACAGTGGCATCAGGCGTTGTCCTGACAAGGAATTTTGGTAACCTGACGTCAACCTAAATTAAGCGTCTAATGACGTTGGTGGCCAGCTTTGTGGAAAATGGTACAGAGTTTTACACAAATATTAGCAGAAGATAAGACACCAGGTGAGTGGAACACGATTATAAAAAGCTTTTATAAAATGTTTAAATGAGGCGACCTTAACAATAAATCACCACTGCTCCTCTGCAGCTGTCAGGAAGCCCCCTTAACAGCAATGATCTAAGAAACTAACTTTCATGTGGAAGGTGAGGTGGTGGCTCACTAAATCCTGAATCTCATTAGACGTCCATAGATTACATTAGAGAAAGTGTCCGTCCATAAATGAGGAATACATTACCTTTTTAATGAGGCCCATAAAGAAGAAAGAATGCTAAAAAATTGCTGCTATGAGCAAGAAAAGCCATAACATGTAAACAACTGCAGCAAAGTGTTCCCATCTGCTGCTAGCAGGCGGGCCATAAACTACTTTCCACCACAAATATCCCTGAGGTTAATGGGGAGCTCGCAGAACCACCACGTGCACGGTGCGGGACTGCCAAATCCAGTTTGTTCTGACACATCTCCCCAAAAAAAAGTACAGTCAGAAATATGCAGTACATTCACTACAGCTGGATAAAGACTGCTCGAGTGTCTGCAAGAAATTAGATTTAGATGATGACAGGACGTGTAGTCCTCACAGATCCAACTCACAATCAAGTTTTAAGTTTTGTAAACAGTGAGATGCAATAATGGCCAGGCTGTTGGGCCACTTAGCTGAGCAAACAGAAGTTTGAGAATTATCTTGGAAGACGATACAAAGAGGGAGGAAAGCCAGACAGGGAGGAAAAGAGGGATAGCAGAGTGGAGAGACAGCTGGGAAGACGAGCGAGAAAAGTGTGTGTTCTTGATTATCTTACTTCTCTGGAGTGGATCTCCTCAGCGTAGATGGGGAAAAGAAACTCAGACTCCCCCTCGTCTAGCTTGACCCCATCTGAGTTTACTTGTAGGAGTCCCATTCCTTCCTACAACCAAAATGAAGACACACATATGTTCAGATAAAGATGCAGCAAGGAAGGTTTAACACCAAAATTACAATCTGCAAGTAAAGCTGAATAAAAGTATACAAAGTAAGAATCCAAAATATGGTAGGCTGGGAGTTAAGATTGTGTCTTCCAGTCACTTCATTATGTTTCCAAGAGTGAAACTCAGTTATGTTCCCTGTAGGACTAAACCAACCAGCTGATTTAGCTGTGCAGGCACTTTGCAGCAGTGTGTGTGTACATGAGTGTGTGTGTAGGTTTGTGGCATCCTTTTTTCTGCTTCTGCATAAATCCATGGTTGCCATCTGGACTTGAGACAGAAAGCTGACAAGACTCCATGAAATAAGAAACACAAACTATCCTGCTTAGACAGCCAAGTATCCGTTAACGATAGACAATACAACTGTTTTCACTGCTGATAATAATAAGCAGGGTCACCAGGTTGGTTTGAATTTAGGATGTGACACAGATAAATTATACTAAAGATTTATATGGAGAGGGGGAGAACCTATTCCAGCTGAAAATACAGACTGCCAAGGTGAGTCATGCGTACCGTGTTGAACCACATCACCCTGAGGATCCAGATGGTGAGGGCGAAGTTGACCACCAGGATGATGATGAGCAGCAGGACAAACAGGTAGAGGCAGCGCTTCCTCCAGCCATAGATGCCGATCTTGTAGACTTGTTCGGGCACCGGCCTGGGCGAGCTGCTGCCCTGGGTGGTGGTGACATACTGCTCCCGCACCATCTGCTGGCTGGGCACATCGCGGGAAGGCAGGTGCATGGGCAACAGAAACAGATGTTTAAGAAGAAATAGAAAAAAACACATAAAGACATACTGCTCCTTTGTGCTGTTCAGTGAATATGGACATAACATGCTACAGAGTCACAGAGAGAATTATTTTGACAAAACCAACACTGTATTTAAATCTGCAATAACAATTTTTGGCCACTTGGGGGCCAGCGAGACAACATACTGACATCACATTTTTTAGTTCATGTGCAAAACGTTACTTATTTACACATCAGGCAGTTACAGAACATAAATGTTCTCTTTTTTTAGATCCGATTTTGGTCTACACCATCACCTGAGGGAAATACCTTAAGTTAAGATTTTCAGTAAAGTCCTAGTTGAGGTTTCCTCAAAATAAAATCGGTTGCACAAAACACCCTGAAGTCTTCTCGTTAAGGTTTCCTTAAAATGTATTTAAGGATTTCCCTTTGTCTTGGTCTTTTACTTAAGGAATCTAGAACATTGCACAAAAGACCTTAGCAACCATAGCAAGGTAAAAAAAAACAAACAAACAAACAAAAAAACCATTAGGTATCTCTGACTCTATTTCAAGTGCAACATGATGGAGTTTATGGTGATGAATGAAAAAAACTAGAGCACTCCGAGAAGAATCTTCTGTGACCAGGAAAACCTGTTGGATATGCTTCTGATTTAACAATTTTCTTACTTTGTAGTTTGTGCTTCTATGATTGTATTCCTCCAGAGGTGTAATCTCTTCCTCCTCTGACCAATATGGTTTTCTTGTCTCCCACTATCATTTCTACTACCCATTTTTTTACTGTCTAACTATGAGCCAACTTTGTGAGACAATAACAGGCATCACAAGTGTGAGTCCAAACAAACAAACAATCTTCATGGGAACAGTAAAATCATTTTTAACGCAATAAATGAGTTTATGTTTTTCCTTGACAAAAGAAACCTTTCAAGGGATTCTTTGCAAGTCCCTCAACAAAGGAGAAATTAAGCCTCAAGTGTCATACTTGAGGAGAAAACATAAGGTGTTTTGTGCAACCAGTCCTGGGCTTTTAAGCTGCTAAATGCTGCACTGTTGCAGAATTGCTAGTGGTTTGGCTCGATTCGCTTTTGGTATCAGATGGTTCTCTTGATTTTGTTTTCCACTGCAGATAGTATGCTCTCAATGTAGGTGGGATTCTTAGCTAATCATCATAGCGATGCTGCGTGAAACTGCTGTGACATCAGCTTCACCTCAACACAAACACAATGTGTACTCTTGCTGGATCTTTTTATCAGCATCCAAACAGAGGAATGTCTGTACTTCATCAATTAACCACAGGGTTTTTCGGGATGCCTTTTTTAAAAAAAATCTCTTGTTTAAAAACTCTGAGTCAAGTGAATAAAAAACTGCAGTCTCAATTGATGGCTTGGCTTTTTAAAAGGGAAAGGTTCACCAGTGATATCACATATTAACTGTTTCACAAGGGACATTTTTCTCTGACCAACCAGTGGTCTGCAGTCTTTAACTCCACTATCAATATATTGGCTAAGCGTTCTTGGAACCTCAACTGGGGTGATGCCAAAAAAGTGCCAGGTACTATCCACAACCTTTGTCAATAGAAAACCACAAAAAACCAAGGTTACAAGTGAGTCGAGCCACACCTTACCATACAGTAGAGCTAATCTCTTCTTTATCCATTTTTTCATACTTCTTTAATTCAGCTCCTGAGAAATAGCCTTCCTCTTGCCTCAGCCCAATCCTAATTTCAGATCTTAAATTGCTCCTTTTCCTCTCTCACTGCAGTAATCTTTATTAGTATAAAATAGTCAGCTCTTTAGATAACAGTAAGATCTAAAAGAAAGAAAAGAAAGAAATTTCAGGAATTTGTCTCTGATCAAATTTGCGTCCCAACTCTGTATTTTATCTGTTCTCAGAGTTGAGAAACTTCTGAGAAACCTATGAGCACAGCAAAAGAACTGCTAATGTGTTCTTTAGCTCCTTATTGCTCCTTAAACGGGGTTTAAGAGAAACAGATCAGAATTTAGTAATCTCCAAATAAGAAGTAGATTTATATCTAAAAGACAAAGAAAAGACTATTGTGAGCAGCAAAATTTTCCTTTGTGTGAGCAGGTGGTGTTCAGTTTGTGTTGATAGCTTTCTTGCCAAAAACAGGTGTCTGCTGAGGTCAAAATTACTCAATTAAGGTGGTTAGAGGGAAACAGAACAGTAACTTTACAGGCTGGAAAACCAAAATTAGCTAGAAGTTGCTATAAATCTCTGCAGAGTTGAGGGTAACAGCAGTGATGGGTTTTAATTTTCTGTTCTGTTCTCAAGAAGCCTCTTTCACTCTTTTTTAATATGGGAATATTTCATCATAGAAGCTTTAAGTATGATTATAAAGTCTGCAGTCACAGTGACTACTAACATATTCATACTTATTGCACCGTGTTGCCAGTTCAAGAGGAGATCCACCTTTTCACTTAGCCTACTCAGCTTCCAGTACACTGTTTCATAAATCTAGTATCTACATTATATACATAAAAGAGGGAAAGCAACAGATGTTTTCTATTGGTTTGGTCTTTGCTGTCTGTATCAGATGATGAGGTTGATTTCCATCTCTGACATGCAGCTTTTACACTTCCTTTAAAATCTGAATTCACCATATTCACTTCAAGCCTTTGTATATTTAATTGTATGCATACAAGCTGTTTGATTGCTCCTCTTAACAATCCCTTGTTCACACAGTGCACAGTATATCATTCATGAGCTCAGAGCTTGTGCACAGAACCAGTGGATATCTGGCTCTTTGCGCCAACGGAAAACTTGATGGAATTTCCAGCATTTTTTCAAAAAGTCAAACGGCAAAGGAAAATGCCACTTATTACAGAGCAGAGGCGGAACATTCTGGCTCCACAGCAGCAGGCTATCAGTGACAAAAATCACCGAGATGAATGTTAGCGTTTACCACAGCAAGTCCTACAAGTTATGACGCCAATAGTGGTTTTCTGTATTCAGCTCATGTGAGAGCAAGCAGAGCTCCAACTGCAGGGCTGCAGAACCTGCGAGCGAGCCCCCCAGTCAGCACATTTGGACCACCTGACAATGTGTCAACAGGGAACCTCAGGGAGATATTTCACAACGACACGGGGAGTGTGTGTTTGAGCACAGTGGAGCCAAGGACCACGCAGCCTCACACAGGGCCACAGAGAGGGGAGCAGTGTCACTCTCTGTTGAATAATCTGCATTAATAACCAACGCAGGCTGCAGAAAAATCTGTTTTCACTGAGGACAAGGCCTGGAGGAAATGCTGTCGGTTGTAGATTATTACGAGTCAATAAAACACCCAGAGCAGGCAGAAACAAAGACAGACTGCAGCTTTCTCCAAGCAACAACCTGCTCCACATCTTCATCAATTCTTTAGAGCTGCCACATCTAAACTTTATAGGAAAAGTTATCTGAACAAAGATGTATTTAGGTTGTCTCAGCAGTGTTTTCTGAACCTGCCAGGGACTCAGACTCAGTAGCCAGGCTGATTTACATATGGGACAGATGTTGCGTCTTACTGCCACAGTAAAGACGTTCTCCATCATGTTAAAGGAGCTGCTTAACAAACCAAAAAGTCATTCTTCTTTGACATTGACAGATGTTCAGCCGGGCACATCATCTTGCTGTGACTCCCGTGTGATACGAGCACACAGACTCTGCATACAGCCCCTACTGTATGAGCAAACTCTATAAATAATGGAGTAAATATCATTCCGCCTTCGCAGCAAGGGGCGATGAATAAAAGCAAACTCGCTCGCTGCTGGGGTCTGAACTCACTGAGGTCCAGGAGGTGTAAGGGAGCCGATAATAAAGGCCCATAGTCTCCGCAGCTCGTTTCTTGCTGTTTGCAGTAAACACTGGGAGGAGACGTGTTGGCATAAAAGGCTGAGAGTATTTCTATGACCGAACCTGCCTCTCCACAGGACCTGTCACATGGCCTGCGAGCCCAGCTGTGATGAATAGCCCTTATTCCACAACCAAACAAATGAATCTTGCCTGAAAAGAGGAAAAAATGACTTTTTGCCATTTCCACATGGGAGAGGAGATCAAGGGTTGATAAGTAGTAGGTGATGTGAAATGCTCATTTTACCCTGCATCTCACCGTATTTTTATATGATGAAATGGTACTTGTGAGAGTGAGTCATGATGACGAAATGAATCTCAGCAACACAGCAAAGAAACTTACAGTGAGGGTGTGTGCTGCAACATGGCATTGCTTAGCTAGTTTAATCAACATGGATTCAGTTGGGGTTCTCCACCAAGGCTCAAAAGAGGACTAAGATTAATCAGTGTCTGTTAAATTGACCGATTCCAATATCCCTATACCTATTAACAACCACAGATCATTTGCGTGTTAACATGTTGATCAGCCCACTCTGAGCAAATGAGCGGTGAGGGTGGAAGAGCTCTGGGTTTGTTCATTACGTCGGTAATGAATTTGATCTAACCCAGTCTAATTACTTTAAATGAAAGCATTAAGAGGCCTCTGTACTTGAGCAGCAGTGGGAGGAGGAGGCAGCTTTGAGGCTGGATCTCAAAGAGGCGTCCTCCAGCTCCGGTTTGTTTTACCACCAGCCCTTCAGCCACAGACTGCTCCCTCCATAGCAACCCAAATAAACACACCCCGAACAGTCTCGCTGCTCAAGTGCCAGGAATGCTCAATATATGAGGCTTTATGATCGGAAATAGAGTCTGACCTTGGAGAGAAAATAGTTTTTATTGGGTCTGTGCTTTTTTTAAGCCTCCTGGTGATTGAAAACTGGTTGTTTAAAATGAGTCAGTCTAAAACTTTAAAGCAGGTATGGATCCTATACCACAAGAGAGACAAGTTTCAAAGGTGCTGTAGACCTCTAAAACAATCCCTAGCTCCCAAAGATGAAGAGCACTCAGTTCAGTTCTGTTAGCAGGGCAATTTTTAAAGGGGCACCCTCTCAATTAACCTTAAACAAGTGATGCTCCCTGCCTGGCTCCGTCTCTGACCTCTGGATGAGAGCAAGGGCCGAGCCGGACAGGCGAACTGCTTGCCTAAAATCCACAGGGATCTGGCTGTAATTGAGAATCCAGGCTTCCCTCTGAGCCGAGGCTTGACCTGACCGAATGCCAAAAGTTTCAGTGAGTTAGGGAAAAGCTCAAATTGTGTAGCTGGAGGACGTTCGCAGAGGAATACTCAGAGGAGCTTGCTGTGAGGACGGATCGAAAGCTGAGCGCAGGGCTGAAGTTTCTGTCTGTGTCTAGTGAGTAGCCGGCGTCATGGCTCCACTTTGCTGTGATGCCTTAACTTCTAAAAATAGGACATGGCATTGTGAACTAAATTTAAAAAAGCACAGGACACACACACACACACACACACACACACACACACACTATGGGTATAACTAATGGAATGATAAGACACTGGAGTATTGCTCTCACAGAAAACATTAGGTGCTCTTTCACTGAAGTTATTTTTGTATTCCAATATTGCTGGCCATGTATGGTAAAACTGCAGACAGCTGGCAACCTAAAACACTTTTTCCAAACCCCAAACTACTTCTGTGGAGGACTACAAAGTGATCACAGTACAACAGAAGACACAAAACACATTTAAAGATATTGTGCAGTAGGTCAAAGGTTGCTATTATGAAAACATGATCTCAAGACAAAGTTATGAAAGAAGCAAAATGCCACAGAGTATTTATGAAAGGAAAAGGCAGGCTACTCACCGTTGTGTGTTCAGGCACAGCAGTCCTCTTTCCTACGCAACAGTAAGCAGAGCTCGAGCTGGTACGAGCAGCTTGAGAAGCAGCAGTGCTTGAGCCCCTCACACGTCTGTCAGCCACTCAACAGCTGCGTGCCATAAATCCAGCTCTGGAAGTGCCCCGGCTAATCACCACGAGACGGCGCTCCCACTCCCCTGTATACCCACTCTGACTCCCTCTGCCTTTTTAGCCTTCCTGCAGACATTTGAATATCATCAGCGTGTATGAGAGAGACACAGAGAGGAGGAAGAGGAGGAGGAGGAGGGAGGAGAATTAACTATCAGTGGTGAGGTTCAATCTCTCTCACACACACACAGAGAAACCATCCATAATGAGCAGAGGCTGTTGTTTGTCATGCATACCAGTGAGTCACTTTCACTGCCCAGCCCAGAGCTCGGTGCAGTCCAGTCTAATTTGAGACTTCAGTCATGGCTCTCAACATAAAGTTAAGCTGGTCTTTCAGATAGCTGCGCCGGGTGACAGGCAGCAGGATGGGCGGACCTTGAAGAGGGCAGTTAGTAAGTCAGAGTGGCAGAAGAGACAGGCAGCAAACACAGCGTATTAATAGACAGGAAGGGGGGGTGAAGGTTGCAGTTGTTGAAATGGAAATTGTTGGAGTCATGGTGTTGAATTATTACAATCACAAAACACAGCTCATTTTCAGAACTTTCTCTGTGTATTTTTAGTGAGCAAATATCAATAACTCTAGGTCATCATTCAATATAAGTAAAATATACAATGTCCATGCTGTTAATCACAAACTGGCTATGGGAAAGTGATGAGGGAGATTTACTTTAAACTAATGTTACACACAAACAAACAATAGAGTGGGTAGATCAGCAACAAAAGCACTGCAAGGATATACAGCATGTGTGCTGTGCAGGTGTTGAAGGTGCAGAACCAAAATAGCAGGATGCAGGATGGCTGTCAGCTGAAGGAAGGAAGAGACACAGCGAGCACATTTATAGCTGGGAGGGACCAGATGAGTCTAATCAGCTGAGGATCCTCCAGTGTCAGCCAAGTGACTGCTGAGGTTGGCCAGGAGAGCATCCAAGACAGTGGGAGGGGCGTAACATAACATGTACTCCTGGCTCCTCTACATTTGTCATCATAGAGATGTGTAAAATTACCTTTTTATCATTCTTGTCAATACGTAACATTTAAAGGCAGTGCACTCTTGACAAGTGGCAACCTCCAGGGATGAAAAATGAAGCCAACATGGAAGTGCCAAAAACTGCAGTTCTTTGAATGAGGCAGGCTCCAGAGGCAGATCAATCCCCACAGACCTCCATGTTAAAATGTCCACATTAACAGCAGAAACAAACATGTTAACAGCCTGGAACAAAACCCCCCAAAGCTAATTTCATGACAACTGTACGATAACTCACCCCTTAACATTTTGTTAAAGTTACACATATTTAAGGGCGGGGCTATCTGAGTGACAAGCTGTCTGCGAGGTGTCACCACAGTCTTGTGACTCAGATCTACCCCTCACTCCTCTACAGCACCACCCTCTTGTCCAAATATGGACAATTCTGGCTCCAATAAAACAAAATCATCATGATGACATCCGTTCGCTCTCTGTATCATTCTGGACTCTGTGCCACCCCAAACACTTTCAGTGGATGGGAGTTCTCGCCTTGACAGATAAACTCCTTCAGCCAGTCATGATCAAACAATACACTGGAAAACAGCTTCATCATCACCAACGGAGCCAGTTAATAAATCAACTTTTTGCTAAATCCATGTAGAAGAGCGGCTAAAACGTCTTTTCATCTGAGAAACTCACTTATTGCTGCGTTAACTCTACTAATGTTAGTGTTAGCACTTGTTGCTTCAGGAGTCACCATTACTATTCTGCAAGCAGTGGCCTGCATTTTACATCAACTACAACGCAGTCCCTGATTAACTGCGTTCATCATCAACCATGGTGTGAATCCCTGATTGGCCCCGACTGGATTTTAAGCTCTGGATATATAAGGCGGGGCGGAACAGTGTCCAGACTGATACCAAGAGTGAAACAGAAAGTTGAGCTCACATCATCAGGCTGAACTCGACTTCAAAATGGGAGTCCAAAAACCAGTGGGTGACGTTACGGTAGCTCATCCATTGTTTGTTTTTTTACAGTAAACGGATCAACCCTGACAGAATGTCAAACATTTATTTAAATTGAAACTGTAGTGCGTTCCCCAAACAAGGGGAAACATACTTCAAACCCAGTTTACACCATTTGAAGGAGACGTCAAACAACAAAACTACAGCAAAGCGGTCTACACCATTTTTAGATGCAATGTGCCCCAGACATTTCTACAGCAGACATTTTGATTTGTAATAACAGGAAAAGAGCAGGTGAAACAACTCTCATCACCGATGGCTCCATAATGGAACACAGCTGTCAATGCACATGAGCTTTTCCTGCTAGAAGTCGTCAAAATGTCCGCTGTGAAAGAAGATCTGCTTTGACTTGTCATGGTAGGAAAAGTGCAGGTGTAACTAATAACAATGGCTTTGCTCCATTCAAGGCCACACACCAGGACCTTGAAACTGAAGCAGTTAAATGGAATTCAGCCATCATTAGTCTTACTATTTACTCACACATGGTGACCCACACAATGATTTGAATCCTGATTAGACTTCAGGATCGTGTAGGCGTGCACTCACTGAGCTTGACTGACATCCCCCTGACTCTCCTGTTAGCTTTGTTGCACCTGTGAGAGCGGAACAAATTACACCTTAAAGGTAAGTACACACCACACATTACACCTCTGACCTACAGTATGAATATTCACTACCTCTCCCAGCAACTGTGACCAATACAATATACTGTTTACAGCTGTGATTGCTCCGCTCAATATTTATTTATTACTCTCACTCCCTTTTTCAGAGCTGAGTGTGGAGCAATTAAACTGGCGGCTAATGTGACCACTAATTTACGTGGGGTCTAGTGACCTCCCGAAACACCCAGCGTAGGTCCATCCACCTTCAACCTGTGCAGAGGACAAGTCGGTCGCAATAAATGAAAACAACAAGCGTGCAATCAATATACAAAAATAAATATAAGATTTCTCAGAGCTGGTACTCTAATAATTTCCAGTGATGCGAAGGGAAATTGCTAACTAATTACTGTTACTACATTATATTTAGAGGAGTCAAACATAATTACAAACACTAATTGCATTACCCAGAATTATGGGAACGTGAGGTCCATGTTAAGATGTGTTTTCGGAGTCACACAGGCACCTTTGATGGATACACACAGCATAAAAAGTTACAGAGAGAAAGAAAGCAGTATTCTCTCTGTTCTAATACATGACTGAAATTTGATTTTGCAAAAAATATTTATGTGCAAGGCTTACTTGATATTGTCTAATAAATCAAACACCACTAACAGGTCCATTCTTTGCTTCAGTATGCAACAGATACCACGACCCAGAAGCAGCAGCAGACCCCAGAAAATAAACAGAAGTACAAAGAATTAAATTAGGTGTGATAGTTGGCCTGTTATAAAGCCACTAGTGAGGTACATCTTAAGACACCCACATTAAAACAGAGGCGGTAATGTCTTTGTGTTCTCACAGGCAGATGCTGGAGGAGCTGATGGGTGGTGCATCTGTCAGTGGCATGCATCCTGCAGTTTGTTTTGCCACTGCTGCTCGAGGTAGCGCTGAGCTGGTGACAAAGGGAACGTCTGACAGCATCCATCACGAGACTCCTGTGTCTTTGGTGCCCTGAGCAAACATCTGACAATGGGGATAGCTTCATTTCGTGCCATTTCTTATCAATATCTCATAAGCTTTCGCTGCCTGTGGCTTTTAACAGACAAATGGAAGACATAAATGATAAATCTCTTGCACCAAGTACGAAATGATCCATTTTACACTGAAAACGAGATCAGTCGAGTCAAGGTGTCCCTTTGAATTTATTGGATGACAACTCGGTACGCTGTGTACATGGACAACCGGGGACTTTCATTACCAAGGACACTGGTAATGATTGAACACAACACACACACACACACTAAATAAGGTATGAATGTGTTGAGCTGCACAGGCCCGAGTCGATACCACACTCACGACTGGAGAGCTTTGAATGAACCTACAAAATGTGAAAGAACGTGCACCCATCAGTTAGAATATTTCATTTTCAGTGTACACAAGTAAAGAGATGGATTCCAAACTACATAAAAAAAAAGAGTGAAAGCACATCCTTTGATGCACAAAGGTTAAAAAGCCTTCATCATTGCTGGGTAATTTAGGACCAAATTTAGCTACACTTACAAAGCCTTTAACTTTTGTACATTCATGAAGCAATGTGGTTTTATTTTTAGACGAACCTATTCCCCTTATTGTGGACGTTGGCCTGCACCTACATCAGGAGCACCTGCTTTGTGTTACACTACAGTCAGGTCCAAGTAGCCTCCACTCTTGGTTTTATGGCCAGTTTTGCAACTTCGCCTGCAATATCAGAATTCCAGGAGCATTTTTGAACATAGCACAAGGATTATGACCACCCATTGGGACAACTGTTGTCGCCATCAACTCATCCTCACTTTGAAGTAATACTACACCAACAGAATGACCTTCTGTGAATCAATTAGTCACGCCATATTACTTTGTATGTGTGAAGAAAGCCTTGTTTTTTTTGTATGCCTCCACAGAAAACTGCAAACACATTGATTTATTGATTGGGGACCACGTCTAACAGCAGAACCATATCAAAACATCCATTCATGAACTCTCACACAGCTCGTGCAGTATAATTCAAGTCTCATTTATCCAGTCTCACACTCAGTGCTTCCAAAAACATGCATTTCACTAAAACCTTAATATGTAAAATTAAAAGTGAAACTTATCTGTGCTGTCCCTTTAAAACAAGGGACAGCAACACTCCAACACTAAGGTTTTCATAGTTTGGGAAGTAGAGGATACGTCTGGATAAATGAGACTTGGATTATATTGCACGTGCTGTGAGAGTTTGTAAATGGATGCTTTTATTTCATAGTGCTGTTAAACACGGCCCCCAGCCAATGAATCGGTTTGTCTTTTGTTAATGTATTCAAGGTAACACAGTATGACTTATTAATTTTAACCTGTCCACTGCTTTTCATCATTTATTATCCTGTGTTTCGTGTACATTTTTAATATACCTAATTTAAATCATTTTATTGTTGTATCGGTTCATTACTATGTAAAATTTCTCCCTCTGCACTAACCTATTTTTTAGGAGTATTCACAATTTACTTTATTGCACTCTAATGTTGTTCTGGCCATGTGGAATGCCGTTTGCTGTACGTTCTTTACTTGACTACACCTGGATTTGTGAATAACATTTCGTTCACTGTATGCTGCTGTATATAGAGAATAACAATAAAACTGGAATTTACAAAAAGGTAATTTTGTGGGTGAAGCATTCCTTTAAGGTAGCGGGTCCCAACTGGTCCGACCATGGGTCCAGCTTTCTCCTTTGTCATCAGTTTGAGGTCTTAATCTTATACATTCAGTGTCATACTTGTGTTTGGCCACGTCGTCGAGCTAGTTTGTGGTCTCCGTCAAGTAGCTGTCAGTCATTCACTTTACAGCAGAAAACGGCACTTCATTATAAAAGCTCCCTAACAGAAATTTACTGAACTGTGGTTTTTTTGGACAAACTTCACACATTTGCAGGTCACTTTTCGGTCCATTCAGAATGGGCCCACGACCCCCCCAGTTGGGAACCACTGCTTTAAGGAGCATTAAGCAGACCAGGGACCAGCTCCATGAAGGCCAGCACTTTGGTCCAGTGCAAAAACATGTAGTATTACCTTATTTATACCAAACATAGAGCTTTTCAGGTGAGAGGAGACAAGCACCCACAAGAAATCCAAATGAATATGAAGAGTATGTTCACAACTTTACACAGAACGATCCGTTCTAAAGCAGAAGACAGTGTGAACTGTAAAACTGTGCCACCAGTGTAGTGCATGCTTTATTAGTGCAACCCTAATTACACTCTCACTCAGGGCTGTCATTTTCTACCTACAGAACTATGAATGAATTGTGACAAACAACTGTGATTTTGTCTTTACAGTTTTTATTCACCTTTTATTACAAACAGCTCATCAGAGGAAACTCAGGAGAACCTGTAAGACAAAAAACACTGCAGGTTAGTGGATGCAGCTAAAAACAAAAAAGACCAAACTCAAGCAGATATAGTTTATTGTTACTGTACCTGATTATGATTTCTCTGCTGCTGCCTCCTCATCTCCGCCCTTGGTGTTACGTGTGTAAATCAGCTGTGCTCTGTGTTTGGACACCAGCTTGATCATGCCTGGAAGACAAAACAGCACCATGTTTTCTGTCAGTATATTAGCTTATTTTAGTTTCCCTGCACTGCATCTCACTTCAGACAATGTGTACATCAGGTCATTTCCAGTGTCTCAGTGAAAGCTTCTAAATGCCTGAGATACAGATTACAGATCCATCTTCTGTGCTGTTTAAGTGTAAACAGTCGAACTGCAAATGAAGCTGCCCTGTGTGTGAGACAATAGATTAATTTATCACAACAAATCTGCACAGTCTGAAAACTTGTTTACGCTTTACATGGATGAATGCAGTTGAACTCTTATGGTAATACATCTTTTAAGCTGTGCGGATTTGAGTGTCTAGAAGACAATGTAACTGAAAAGTGATGGGTGAACAGATTCATTACAAGTTCTTACCTCAATGCATTTTGCAATTTGAAAAAAATATGATGGACAGCAAACTGTTTTTTTTTTACAAGTGGCAGGTTTCACATAGACACTGAGCCAAGTTCACCATTAGATAAGACCATTAGATAACTGTTTGCTGTTAATTAGAAGAGAAGAGTCAGGGATTTCGCATCAACCATGCAAATCACTCACTGTCACAAATGGCACTGCTACAAAAAACACTTTGACGTGGATACAGAGTGTGTGAGCAGTCAAACGTTAGACACAGCTGACGAGAACTGCTGATGACTGTGGGGATTACTGATGGGACAAGTTTAATGTTGCATCACAACACTGTAGATGGTGAGAAATTTTATTGTTAGAAACATCTCCACATCAGCCTCTAATGCAAAAGATGTATTATAGCAGAGGGAATATCTTAAACGGTTGAAGGAAACAGTCAGCCAAGTTTTAACTTTCAACTTCTCAGTAAAATATTGATTGCAAACACATGCAGACGAATACAAACATACAGATAAACCAACAAACAAAGTTGGTCAGGACACCCTGGAAACAATCAGACTTGAGCAGCTGAAGTGCTAAAATACTGCCATTAAATTCTTTGTGCCAAGCAATTTGTAGTTTGCCTGATTACATTACCTTATCACTGGACTGATGAAATACGATTTAAAAAAAAAAAATCTAATCTAAATGTATCCAAAATAACTACTTTAACAACTGAACCGTCAATACAAATTTTACCAGAATTGAGTAAATACACAGCCAGAAGAGGCGTGTAGTACCACTCTGCCTTGACGCAAGCCCTCTCATACAGCCCATCAAGATGATCTCGTAATATGACTGTGATTTGGATGCAGGTTTAGTATCTGATCCAGTCTGCACTATTTGGGGTTATGGGGCAGACAAATTCACCTTTGGCAAGCAGCTCCTGGAGGGCGTTCCTGGCCAGGGAACCACGGATCTTCAGCCTCTCAGACACGACGGCAGGGGTGATGAGTTTGTAGTTGGGGACTTCTTTGTACAACTTGTCGTAGGTTGCCTTGTCGAACAGGACCAGGTTGTTGAGCTTATCCCTCACTTTTCCCTTGGACCACTTCTGCTCAGAACCACACAAGAATAAAGTCTCGATCAGGAGAGCGCTACAGAGCACCAGATCAAAAATATATTCTGCAACCACATCTAATGTGTAGGGCCCCTCTCAATTATCATTAACCACTGCATACCTTCTTCTTGGCTTTGCCTCCAGACTTGTTGACTGGGTCCTTGTCCTTCTTGGACTTCCCAGTGTCCTTCTTCTTGTCTTGCTTGGGAGGCTAAAAACAGATGACAACACGTTATAACCCTCCAGTGTCTCACATTTCAACTGAGGGTACAGATGGATCCTGTGTGCACACGCTTCAACATCTGGGTGTTTGAGTAAAGGATGCTTGTGCAGTTAAATGATGGCAAAAAAGACAACCCAGGTCATGACCAGAGCCAGCAGCCTGAGAGTAACTCGGCAGGCCGGCATGGGATGGCCTAGTGTGCGTCCTCAAAAAGCGTTACAAGGCTAACATTTTACGTTGATTATTGTCATTGTCAAAATAAGAGGACATTGTATTAACCGTTCACTGTTAGCGGCATGTGTACATGTATAAATATAGCCCTCATTTTAGCAGAATTGTGACTGACAACTTAGCTAGGCTATGTGTGTTGCATGAAAGCGTGGTGGAATTAGCAAGCTAGCTAGCTAACTAGCCAGCCGCTAATTGAGTAAAATTTTAAAAATTTCTTGCTTCGGTCACACACTTTTATCACATCGTTGGACAATATAAAGCCACCGCCAGATAATCCGAGTAATTAGAACTCGGCATGAGTTACAGAAACATGGGAAATGTCTTATTTGTTTCGACAAAACGCGTAATAACTATCCTCACCATGTTTCCTCGTCAAGATGTCGGAGCGAAAGGAAGTTCACCCGTGCAAGCGCCCCTTAGTCAACCTGTATATGCGGAAACGGAAAAGGGAATTATGGGAAATTGAGTTCTTCCGTGTTTAACTGTTCTTATTGTTATTGGCTCAACAGTTTGCTGCGCAACAGCTATACCGACAGGTTTGAGATTAAAACGAAGATTTAAATTAATAAAGAAAATACAAACTAGCTAAATATGAGCTCGTATAGATTTGTTGTAGTCGTTTGACACTGTGACGTCACGTGACAGTTGTGTCAGCTGAGCAGGACGTCGCAAAGATGGTGATTTTCAGTGTGTATGTGGTGAACAAGGCTGGAGGTTTAATTTATCAATATGACAACTATGTCCCGAGAGCGGAGGCCGAGAAAACATTTAGCTATCCTTTAGATTTAGTGCTCAAACATCACGATGAAAAGGTCGTCGTGTCGTTTGGACAGCGGGACGGAATCAGAGGTAACATATCGTTAGCTCATTTCACTAGCTAACCTAGCTAGCTAGGGAGGGAAGTGGGATCTAAACCAATCAAGTAAATGTACTAATAAATGGACCAGTCATCTATGCCAAGTGTTTAACTAGATAGCATTTATTTTGGATTGCTTCCTCTGGTTAAACATTGGCTAAAATGTTCCTACTCTGCAGTCTGTCTCTGCATGGTAATACATGTTGCAGTTAAAGTGGCCTTACTATGATGTTACAGCTGTGAAAATGCCTTTGAATGTTCTGTGGTGTAAGTATTTCACAATAAAGTCTAACTTTAAACTGTGTTTTCTGTAACTGAATGACCTGTGTTGTCATTCTGCAGTGGGCCATGCAGTGCTGTCCATCAATGGAGTGGATGTGCTTGGCAAGAACACAGCAGAAGGAAAGGACATCATTGAATACTTAAAGGATCCCTCAAATTACCCAGTGTCTATTCGCTTTGGACGAGCACGCCTGAGCTCCAATGAGAAGCTGATGCTGGCATCTATGTTCCATTCGTAAGTCGTATCAGTGTCTCACAGAGAGCTCAGGGCCTGATGTGTCTGACATGACTTTTTCTATCCTGATGCCAATTCCGATACCTAATCTCAGGGTATTTCTCTATCCAACCCCCCTCACTGGAACTGATTACGATCATTTCTCTATGTGTACAGTAATGACAGGCTCTAACTACACATCAGGTCATATTCTGTCGATTCATATCTGTCTAACTTTTGCAAATTTAAATCAAGGAAATTAAGGAAAAGGCTTCACTCAGTTTAAGTACATGCTTCTGCATCTCTTCACCAAACCACATCCCCTGCTCTTGGCGCTTTAAAACTACTTGTGATTTCACAGTAAAGGTTACCATATATTATGAAGCATCTTTTTCTACCCTGATTCCAGTTCTGATACCCAAACTCAGGATATTTGTCTGCGCTGAGTACCAGCACAAGACCAGTGCTATTTCCCTGCTAACTGGACCAAATTAAAGTCATTCTTCTATGTGCATAATAGAGCCTGACCGATACATCCCCTATCACAGATATATCGGTGTTGACGTACATGTTATCCAATATGCCTCGATATGAAAATTTCTACATAACGCAATGCAGAAAAAGATGCTTGGGATAATTTATAATCATTAAATCACCCATGAAGTTTACTGTTTCATTGCTCTGAGGTCATTTTTAACTGTAAAGTTTATTGTCAAAATGTAAAATTTTCCTGCCTCCATTATATGTCTTTGTCATAAGTGTTTAGTTGCAAGAAAATATGTGTTTTTGTATATGTATATAATGTGTAAGTAATATCGGCTGATATATCAATATTGGATTTTTTTTACTCCCTAATATCAGTATCAAAATCAGCTCCAAAAATCCGGTATGGATCAGGCTGTAGTGCACAGTAGAGGCTGCAACTACACATCAATTGATATCTATAAGTAGAGACGTTCATACATCAACACCCTTCTTCAGCTTGTGCAAATTTAAATTGAGGAAATTAAGGAAAAAGGTTTGGTTGCTTGGCTCCATGTTTAAAACTACTTCTGATTTCACAGTAAAGGCTACAGTGTATTGTCTTATAGATAGTCATGTCGGAATCTGCTCACTAAAGTAAATTTTGGCAACAGTCAGTATCGGTTGATCCCTGTCTCAAAAATTAAATTGCCTGTCTTTGTGTTTCTCTAGCTTGTTTGCTATAGGTTCACAGCTGTCTCCTGAGGTTGGCAGCTCAGGGATTGAGATGCTAGAGACGGACATGTTCAAACTCCACTGCTTCCAGACTCTCACAGGTCAGTAGTGTAAGTGAGTGTTAATGCAGGTGAACAAAAGGCCCATGCAGTAATTTTGTTGTCAGTCATAAAGCCACTGACAGAAAAAAGCAGAGAAATCCAGTCCCCCTAAAAATCCACCCACTCAGCAACATCCTTATAAATGAGCCGTCAACATGACACATCTATTTACTATAAGTGTGACAGTAGCAATTTTAAAAGTGACGTCTTTCTCAATGCTTGTTCCATCTCTGTTCTTTCAGGGATAAAGTTCATCGTGCTCGCGGACCCTCGACAGTCTGGTATTGATGCACTACTGAGGAAGATTTATGAGATCTATTCAGATTTTGCCCTCAAGAACCCGTTTTATTCTTTGGAAATGCCAATCAGGTAACAGAGGGATTCAGGATGATGAAAATTAGTATTTGGCACTTGGTACATTTCATATTACAAACCAAGTGTCCACTGTCTAACACCCACGTGTCCTTTGATGCCACTTTATTTGTCGGATTTTCAGGTGTGAACTCTTTGACCAAAATTTGAAGAGCTCGCTGGAGATCGCAGAGAAAGCTGGCAACTTCGGAGCTGGATCTTGAACCAGAGAGGAGTAGAAAGAGCGTGCTATCATTTCTAACCACAACAGATCCCCTGACTTATTTTAAAGTTGCGTTAAGTTTGCGGGAAATACAAGTGGATTCTGTGTCTTTTTCCAAGTTGGTATCAGTTGACACATTGTAAATACATTTTGTTTTGTAAATACTTGAAGATTAAATGCTGCAAAAGTTTCACATCATGTTTGTTTTTGCTGCAAATACGTTGAATTAATGAGGCATTCAACTGTAGTCTAAGGGGCACTGAGAATAAACAATGAAAGTGACTGAAAAAACATAACAACAAAGTAGCATTTATTCAAGCCTTTGACTGTTCTCAGAAGGAAGACCCCATATTTTAGCTTTCTACAAAAAAAATGTGCAAGTGTTGTAATTCCATCACGAGTCATATTACAGAGTTGTTTTTTTTAACACAGATACTGTATAACGTACCAGTTTCCTAACCAGGTTCCAGTTTTGTGCTCCTATGATTGAAATAACTTTCCTGTAATTGTGTTTTGCGACACTTCATTATATGACATAATGTGCAGTCATTCACGTTCCCTTGTTGAGTCATTGATGCCATGTTTACAGACTAAATACGGTTTGTAGAAAAGCACCTTCACAACAGGCTTCTGAAGAAAAAGCCCTCAACTCAAGAGAGCTTCATTTCTGTTTATGTCTGGTCGAAGAGAGAAAATACTTTTGTATACAAAAAAAAAAAAAATCAAGAAATATCTGACAATACGATGATGGCTCAGAGTACCCAGTTTTCCTCTGGGTGCGGAGGATGAGGTGTGATGATGTTTTAGTCGGTCTTCTTGGACACGTGACCCATCTTGGTGCGGATGTTGCGCAGCAGGAAGTATCCAATAGTGGTGATGCCACAGATGACCTCTGCTACCCAGAAGGCTGTTTCCCAGCCGTAGTGCTTGGCAATGGTGCTGAAGGGTAGTCCAGACAGGAAGCCGCCAACTGAGGAGGACACAAAATTATAAGTACTTCAAGGATTAGAGATTATAGAAAGTGAATTGTCTGATGTATAAACTAAACCAAGTAAACTGTATCACTTAGACACTATTGGTGCAGCAGTTCGAAAAATGAAAACCAATCAACTTACTGTTGGCCATCAGGGCAACAATAGCATGTGACGTCCCACAGTAGTTGGATGGGGCGCTCTCGTTGGCTATAACTCCAAATAAAGCTATTGGTCCATAAGAGGAGAAACCAAAAGCAGCACCCAAACTGAGTATCCACACCTGAACGTACAAATGAGAAGTACAGTCATGAGGTGAGCATGCATTAAGGCAACTATGAGTAAGTCATTTTTTTGTCCAATGGGGTGTCAGTGTAGGAGCGGATACCTTTGAGCTGTCAGGAGAAACTGTGACTCTGAACAGGTACATGGACACAAACATCCCAGCCATCATGCAGATCAGGATGAAATGCCGAGGGTTGCCGTAGAGTTTCATGCCTTGCTGTACAAAGTAAGGAAATATACATGTAAGTCATGAAATGGAGGCCAAAAAGCAAAGATTATTATCATTTTAAGGGTTGTGAGACATCTGAGACTTAGAATGTGCACAGAGTTGGTCCTAACATATTTCGCCTCTGTGTACTGACAGTGAACATGTCACTCTTTTCACAGAGGCAGTTTCCCTTCTGTGCAAATTACTAACACAAATACGACTTTGTGGTTTGTTGCAGTGTTTCTCAAATGGTGTGCTGTGATGCCAATCCAGGTGTGCCGTGGAACTTTATAATAACCACACATTATTACTGCAATATTCAACTGGGCCTATACAAAAAGTTATGATTTCATTTTTAATTGACTGTATCGGTATGTTGTGTGCACCAATTTCCTAATAAAAAGGCATTTAAAAACCCTTCATGGGAAACCTATTTGTCGCCGTTTGCACTTAGGAATTCTAAGTGTGTGACACATCAAAAGCCCTGATTGGCAGCCAGTGTGAGGGATGATAACAGTTAAAAGGAGAAAGTCATGAGTGGGACAATGGATCGCTTTATTGTACGGCGCAACTTACAACAAAGCATCAGGGAAGACAACCTACTTCTGAAAGTACACAGTACCACGAAAGCTACCTGTCTTATTTTTCCTTATTTTTATTGTCTTATGTCCTGATAAGAGTGATAACACATGTTATAGAAGCTATTGTGCACAGATATAAATACAGGTGTGCCTTGAGATTTTGGCTTTCCCTTTGGTGTGCCCTGGGCACAAAAAGTTTGTAAACCACTGGTGTATTATATAGGCTCAGGAGTAACTAAGAGCAGCTGATGCTTAAAAGGTATACAATGCAGGATTCTCAGGTACGGTTTGAAAACACACTAGCCATCGAAAGTGAATTCAAAAGCCAACCCCAGATTCACTCATTTGGCGTTTTGCCTCAGTGTATTTGCGTTTTTCTGCACTGTCTCTCTTAGATGGCTGCTGCTTATGGTCTGGCACATGGTCACTACCTTTCCATGAAGCCCCAACCTCACCTGAGCACCGTGGGGGTACACACGCATAAACACATTAACATGAATACATAAAATGGGAAGAATGAAAGAAAATACAGGAAATGGGACCTGCGAAAAATACACCACACCACACTTCTAGACGGTTGCAAGTGATGACTGAGAGGGATTACTTCTGTCTGTCTTCTGTCTATATGTAATTTTTTAGAAAAATCCTGCAGAGTGCACCTTTAACTTGCATGCAAAAAAAGAAGAGGAAGGACAGAGGCAATTCAGGGCTAATCATTGTGCTGGTTAATGATCATAAAGTTGCACCTCCTTAGTACTTCTCTGCTATGAAAATCTTTCAGGATCGTGTGGCAACCATTCATTCATTCATGTTCATAACCACTTATCCTCTTGAGGGTGGCGGGGGGACTGGAGCCTATCTCAGCTGACATTGGGCGAGAGGCAGGGTAAACCCTGGACAGGTCACCAAACTATCACAGGGCTGACACATAGAGACAGACAACCATTCACACTCACATTCACACCTATGGACAATTTAGAGTTATCAATTAACCTGCATGTCTTTGGACTGTGGGAGGAAGCTGGAGCACCTGGAGAAAACCCACGCTGACAAAGCCATATGACAAAATGTATTAGAATGTATTCAGATATAAACTCACTTTGGCCACCGCCTTGTCAGAGAAGTAACCTGCAGCGAGACTGCCCAACAGGCCTCCAACCTCCAGGGCACTCATGTATGAGCTACCTATGAAGAAGAACATAGTGATTCAAAAGAAATTATAAGCGAACTCTCAACTTATTTCTTAACAGAAATCGGAGGTGTCCACCAACTCTTCCATACCCATAAGTGCAGACTGGCCCTTGTCCTGAATGAGGAACAGCTGGCCCCAGTCTGTGCAGACTGTCTTCACCCCGAACACCACCAGATAGGACACAGAAAGCAGCCACAGATAGGGTGACAGCAGGAATTCCGACAGGGTGCTCTCATCAGTGGAGGCTCCTGAAAAGGAAGCAGTCACAAGACAGAGTGTTATTATTGTGAGGTGGGGATGGGAAGGATCTCTACTTCTAATCAGATTAATGCATAAAACATATCTTCTATCTGACATTGCCTTTGTAAGAGCTAGACACAGCCCACACAAATGACATGTGAAGGACACACTGGGTACGGAGTCCACCATGTTGGTGACCTTTAGTCACAACACGAGAGACACATGCTTCACACACACACACACACACACACACACACACGTCTGGAGCATGCACAACTATATGTGAACTGAGTGTTGCACATGTTTAAACAAATATACTGTGTGTATACGCAGTGGCTAAAAACCTGTGAGTGTCATCAAACTGAGGATTCATTACAAATCATTCAGTAAAAGTCAGCCTCACCTCCTTTGCTCTTCTTGGCTCCTGTGTCTATATTGGGCAGCCCCACCTCCTTGGGCTCATTCTTGATGAGCAGCAGACAGCAAAAGGAGGCCACCACACAAATCATCCCAGATACCGACAGTATCGTCCTCCAACTGTAACTCTGGGTCAGCACTGTAGCAATAATGGGGCCCAAGCTGCCAGCCAGATTCATGCTGCAGGAGAGAACGGCCCACCATGTCCCGAACTGAGAGGGCTCAAACCACTGACGGCGGAGGAGAGGAAATAATAACACGAAATCATGACAGAGCAGACAGGAAGTGTCATTATCTGGCCTTTGATGTACAGGAGCAACGGAATAATTGAACCGGTGCAGCGTTCTGAATTGACAGCAGGTAATAACTGAATGAAATGACAATGTCATTTGACAACTGGAGTACTGGATGATGTGACAGGCCACAAATCAGTGACGTCAAACAGAGACAGGAGGAACATTTCACTCATGCTGTACATACATTATAACACCGGTTACATCTCTTAAGCTTGCATGCATTGCAAACATCTACTGAGGAACAGTGAAACAATATTGAGGTAAAGCAAAGTATTATTTCATTACATTCTTACTATGAGCAGCTGGGTCCTAAATGAACACTCCATTTTCTGCAAAATCCAATCAGGATTTATTTACATTTCTAAAAAATAGGTTGAGAGTGGAGGGGTTGTTTTACCACACCCAGTGCTGATGAAGATTGTCTGATATTTTAAGCATTAAATTCCCAATAAATAACACATTTAACTTCTTATTTTTGTGTGTTACATGCATCTGATTCGGACTGTCTTTCTACCTAAACCTGAACCCAGTTCAGTTAACTATCAGGTGTAATATGGTGCCTATTTGTTCTTTATAACATGTGATGAATGTGATGTGATATACTGGCTTGTGGCTCAGGTACCTTGCGCAGCACCCTACCGCAGGGAGGCCAGCCAAGGCCCTGGCCCAGGCCATTGAAAAACCACAGGACGGAGAAGGCAGCAACAGTGGAGGACCAGGAGAAGACCACGTTGATGCCTCCCACCATGCACAGGCCAATGGAGAAGAGCCAGCGGGCACTGATCTGGTCCGAAAGCACGCCACTGATGAACTTACTGATAGCGTAGGCCAAAGACTGACTGCTGGTGATCATGCCTGATCAAAGGGGAGGCAAGAGAAGAGGAGCAGATGAAACTTCTAGGAAGGTTTTTCTGAACCTAAATATTCCTGACATGTATAATATGTCATAGCATGTATGGGAGTTAGTCAGTTATGCTTATGATGCAGACATTTTCAGGGTTAAATAATTCGTCAAGCTTTGTATTTCAACAATTTTCAAGTTTAAAAAAGTATGCAAAATGCTACCTATGTACGGTAACAGCATTAATTGTGATTTATCTTTAATAAAATGTGCAAAAAATCAAGAGTGTCATACCCAAGTCATCCTTATCCAGCTCAATTTCTTGCATGAGCGAAGGCATCACGAAGGAGAAAGTCTTTCTGTTAAAGTAGTACAGTGTGTAGCCTACGAACATGGCCAAAAATATAGTGGCTCGGTAGTATCCATAACTTGCTTTAGCCATGTCTGCGGATTAAATTCTATAAAAATGGCAGAAGGTGGAAAGAACAGAGGATAAATCCAGAGGTGGGAGCAAGCTCCTGGTGTTTCACAGACGTCTGCGGCCTGTGACAGTGAACTTTGCTACAGGATCCCCTGCAGAATAGGCTGCCTACAAGCAGAAACGTGCGTGCAATCAGTAGGGGAGGTTAATGGTCAACTTGTCTGGCCCGGAGTTGATTTTATCTGTGTTGTTACTATGAGCTGCAGGACACTCAGAGGGAAATCAATCAGTTTGTGACATCAACACTGTGTAAATCTGTTGTTTTCTCTGGGCACCTATTAAAAAAACAGGGTCCCGCTACTTGAACAATGACCTAGGTGTTCTTTCCATCTGTTGCTGTTCGTCCATGTGAGGATGTTGTGGAAGGAGTCCTCAGATTGATGCGGTTAATCATTTACTGGGGAGTCCAATGGCTGGAGCAGGACAGGGGGAGGCTCCTTCAAGTGGGTGTGTGAGCTGTGGTGATTTTCAATGGTCCTGTCAGACAAAAACACCGTGTACAAAATGTGTTCAGAGTTGCAAAAGACAGATTACACGGGCATTGTGGGGAATTTAATGTGAATAAGGCATGACATGTGACTGCAAACATGCTAAGGAGGCTTAAAAGAAAGTACTTACGAGTAGGGTCTGGCTGCAGAGCTCCGTCTCCGTCTGACTCCTCCTGGTCCTGAGCTTGATCAAGGAAGGTAATTGCTAACTGTGTACGTAATTAACGACCATCAGGATCTGATATCAAGCGCTCATTAGTTAAAATAAGAGTTTCGCCGACACATCAGACATCACGGAGGCTCTCATAGGAATGAATGGACTTCCGGTTAACTCGCATACGTACTCAGAGTAAAGTGGAAACGAGGCGTGAGCCACACGACCTCCACCAATAACACCAAGGTAAACAGTACAACCCCTTTTAATTCCTTAAAAACTGTAACTGATAAAGTTATGTTAAGTAACGTAACGTCAAGCAGCAAACACGTTAACGTTAAACACCACTCACCTTGAGTTTGCTAACGTTAGCTAATGCTAATTTCGTGTACAATAACGTTAGCTTATGCTAGCATACACAGTAACGTTGGTAACGTTACCCAAGTTATTTGCTGTTTAACGTTACTTCACCTAACTTAATATGACATATGTTACAGTCATATAGAAATAAAAATAACGGTTGTATTGTTGACCTTGGTGTTAGTGGTGAAGGTCGCGTACCAATAACACTTGTACGCTACGTAACGTTAGCCTGTGAAGCAAAGGCATCTTAACACACACTTAAACACACACATGACACCAGAGCTGCCAAGCGTCACGCTTTGAGTGTGACAGTCACGCAATTTGACCCATTCTCACACCACACGCCACACTTGACATTTCTCACGCTTATATTTCCCCATTCAATACTCTATATTTATTTTTTTCCATGATAATAAACTTTGGTCCTCGCGGCTTGCTGTAGTTCGAGTAACTCTGATTGACTGACTAAGATAACCAATCCCAGACCAATCCATCAGTCCTTCGTGCCTAAATCTAACCAACCACGGAAGGCACCACGCAATATAAACCAATCAGAAGCAACGTAAGGCGGGTCTTGGCGTCTCTATCTTTCATCACAACAGCGCCGGCGTTTAAAACCCACTCGACGTTCTCCTGCTTGCTAGAAGATGGACGGTAGGTAACTACCCGGTTTTGTTCACTGTTGATTCGCTGTTTCTCCTTGAGTTTCCTAGTTAATATGTACTGTTTTAAGGCTGCTATAAGTCTATCATTGTCCTGTATTTGTTGCAGAGCTGTGTAACATTTATTTGCCTCTTCTCTTGGCCAGTTCACACTTGAAAAAGAGACTCTAACGTTAGTCTCAATGTGTGTGTGTGTGTGTGTGTGTGTGTGTCAGAGTTACAGACTTGTAAATATCAGTATATAACTCTGACAGTGTACAACCTTGTAAGGGTCAATTTAGACCCCCCTAAAGGAACCCACAGAGTCCCTGGAATCCACTTTGAGAACCACTGTAAAACTAGCATTAGGAGGCCACAGTGCAGGGAGAGCCGCTGGCATGGAGGTGAGGACATCAGTCTTAAGGTATAAATCGATGTTAAAAAAATGTTTCCGAACGCATCATGACACTAAAGTCTCACTCTTGTCATTTTCTGAAACTTGGCAGCCCTGTGACACATTGATAAGACGACTAACAATAGGCTATGCAGCCTAAACGTGAAACCAAATGTAGTCAGTCAGCTTACATGATGATCTCGTGATGCCTGTTACTTATACAGTGTCACGGATCTGTCACAGTGTATTAAGGTACATCAGTAGGCTTTTCTGCCTGCACTTGGTTTAGCTCAGAGGCCACACTAGCATATGCATTTACTTTTTCTAGTCAACAGAGTTAAACTTTGCACAATGGTATTTTGAGCTTCACATTCTGGTCTTTAACACAACTGGTTTTCATGTAATTGTGAGCTTCCTCTTTGAATCTATCCTCCAATGTGACTTTGAATGTAGCTCATTACCAGTTAAACTTTCCGCTTTCCATCAGCAAGTCCTTCTCTATTGGAAGTTAATTTACAGTCATAATTTTACACCACATAACACACCAGTTTGGAATAACAGGTACATATTGCTTAGCAGAAAATCTGTGTATATCGAGGAATGGAGATCCAAAGGAATCTGGGCTGTTGCACATTTTCTGGATGATACTGGAAACTTGTTACAGCATGAGGATTTTTGTAAAAAATACCAACTTCAATGTAATGTTAAGCATTATAATAGAGTGATAAAAGCCATACTAGTTTCTCTGAGGTCAATGGTTAGAGAAGACATTAGGTACTCTGAGGTCTCCCCTGAACTGAGACAGCTCTGCTTCAGAGGATTGGATTTTTGTGATTTTAAATGTACCAACAAAGTTATTAGAAATATTTTGCTAAAAGAATATTACCTCAACCCAGTAAAAAGAATGTACATTCTCAAGGAATTTGAAGTGGAAAAGATTAAGAAAATAAGAAAAAATTATATTTCATTTCCACTCCCACCTAAAGTAAAAGAGGTCAAATTCAAAATTTTAAATGAAATTTACCCAATGAACGAATTTTTAAGATTAAGGTTTAACTTTGAGTTAAATAATTGTGTTTTTGTGAAAGAGAAGTTGAAAGTTTGGAACCTCTTTTCTTTCATTGTGATTCAGTGCAGTCTTTCTGGAGCGAGATGCAGAGCTGGCTACAGTCCAAGGAAACTGATTTACTTTTAACAGTGAAGACAATTATATTTGGTGTTTTTTGGTGAAAATAAGAACGTGGACTTTGTCCTCAACACTTTGGTGTTATTGGGAAAGTTCTTCATTCACAAATGCAGATATTTTAAGACCAAACCGTGTTTGACGCATTGGAGGAATGAGCTAAAACTCTTGAGTAAGTCCCTGAGTCTTGTTAAAGAAAAGAAAGCCCTTATTTTCTTTACTAGAAACATTTAAGTTAATATGAGATGGCCCCTGTGATTTATTTTTTATTTTATTGTATTTGTTTGTTTGTTTGTTTTTTATTTTATTTGGTATTATGTTTGTATTATAATTAGGTTCATGATGTATGTTTTGCATTTCATATTGAACTTGCTCAACCCAAGGCAAAAAATATGTGGTTTTGTATGTCTATTCTGTGCCTTGTTTGTTTGTATCTATCTTTCAATTTAAATAAATAAATAAATAAAATCTATCCTCCAATGGATTCTGTGTATTGTGTTGGGACAGCTCCATCTAGTGGCTGATTGTTCAACTACAACAAGTAGCCCATAAACACCGATCAGTCAAAACATTAAAACCTTTGTGGGTGAAGTGAGTAACATTGATCATTTTGTTACAGTGCAATGCTCTGCTGGGAGATGGCCCTCCACCCACCCAAACACTGCTGTGGGCTAAGTAACAGTACTCCCTGTTGGCAGTGGCCCCCCAGCAGAAAAATGAGCCATGCCACACCACAAAACCTGCTCAGGAATGGCCAGAGGAACATGACAAAAAGCTCAAGGTGTCAACCTGGCCTTCAAATCTCCCACACCCCAATCAGATTGAGCATCTTGGGATGTGCTGGTACCCCACCTCCCAACTGACAGGTCTCAGATGATCCAGAGCTCCTGGTGCCAGACACCACAGGACACCTTCCAGAGGCCTTGACGTGAGAGAAAAGTCCGATCCAGGGAGGCCCCTCCATGGATTGGGGGTAACTCAGAGATACCAGCACATCCCATGGATGCTCGATCAGATTTGGATCTGGGGAATTTGGAGGCCAGGTCGATGCCTTTAGCTTTTTGTCACGTTCTCCAGGCCATTCCTTAGCAGTTTCTTGTGGTGTGGCATGGCGCATTCTTCTGCTGGGGGCCCACTGCCATCAGGGAGCACAGTTGCTGTGAGCAGGGGTTACTTGGCCCACAGCGGTGTTCGGGTGGGTGGAGGGTGTCAAGTGGCATCCACATGACTGCCATGACCAAAGGTCTCTGTAACAACTGTGTAATGTTAAGATACATTTCTAGAACAACAGGAAAAAAATCCAGAATGTAAAGATACAACTATGAAATGTAAGGATATAGTTGTAGAATGATGGGTTATAATTACAGAATATAAAATTAAAGTTCTAGAAAGTCAAATTACATGCTGGAATTTGATAATTCACATCAACATCTGAATATTGTAATTCTAGAATTTTTAACTTATGTGTAAAATTTTAACTTTACAATTCTAAAATGTGAAAATTTGAGGAGGTACATTTTTGTCATGATTGCTGAAATTGTCACAATATCCTCACAGTAGTAAATCTGTTAAAAAATAAGGTTTCTCGTGCTCCTTTGCCAGAATTCACTATGCCCGAATGAAAGCAACCAAGTGCAAAATAAAAAGTGGAAGCATAAACTTGGTGAGACATTACTAGTTCCCCTCACACAGAGTGACTCCACGAGAGACTGGGTACAATTTTTAGTTTTTATTTAGGCTAGTATTTCCCTTTCAGTTGAGTCATATTCTTCCATTTATCAATGACAGATCCCCTTTTATTATTAATATGCATGACAACAGAAAGGAATTCAACTTATGTTAGGGTTAGAATGACACTTTACACACACAGCTTAAAGCATGTAAGGAAGTTAAGTACATCAAGGTAAATACAGGCTCTTATTTCAGACCATTCTTGACAAAGAACTGGATGTACTGAGACCTATTTTTCTTCATCATAACCATCTAAACACACAGCCTACAGGAGTGTTTATGGATCTAGTCAAGCTGTCATTAGGACACCAAAGGTTCCACCTGCCTGTCGTCTTCTGCCTCCTTGTTTGTTCTTGCTGCTAAAGCATTAACGGAGGAGCAAACAGGACAGGAGAGTGGGTGGAGGACAGATGGGTGGGGAGTCCATCTAAAAGTTTTCAATTCTTCATGTTCACATCTGTACACGCAAAAAAAGTAATGGTGACCGAGGGAAACACTACAACACCTGGCATACGCGGACCTCAGCACGAGGAGGGTTCCGAGTAAATACACACACACGGTACGGTTGAGGGGTAAGGGCCCTGGGGTTTGGTAGCCGTGGTCCCGTCCTTGCACATACACAGATACAGTCTCACACAAGCACTGTACACGGCACAAGAGGTCACCTAAATACATGGAGCCGATGAAGGAGAGCTAACACCTAAGAGGGTGGATTGGATAGCCCAGTACAGGCTGAGAGGGGGTTAAAATTCTTATTTAGACCATCGGATCACACTCGCACGCACACACTCGCACGCACACACACACGCGCACACACACAGACACACACAGACACACACAAACCCTCATCCACACAGTGACATACGTCTGTATGCAATTAAAACTCCATAAAGCTACACGCCTGTGCAGAATATACTATCATTACTTAGTGTTGCTAGCTATAGCCATTGAAATGGCAATATATGTTCAAATATTATATGTAACCTTTTTTTCCTCAGAATATACAATGATGATGAAATGCATTATACAGACAAACGAGACAATGTAAGCTGTTCACGTTCAGTACATCAAAAAGTAAGAGCTTCTCTACATTAATTTCTTCACGAGTGCAAAATCCAATGCTCCTCCACCTACTTCAAAGGTTTGCTGCTGAGCTTTAGCAAGTCCACTTCTGCACAAACCATAAACCAATAAAAAAACATGACAATAACATAACGACAAAAAAATACTCTAAATAAGTAGTCATAAATATGGAATGTGAAAAAAACAAACATGTGGTCCAATTTCTCTTCAAACAATACAAATAAAAGTCCTTCAATGCAGTTAAATGTTTTCTCTTGTAACATCTTCACATAATAAAAAAAATGTACTCAAAATGAGAGTGGGCTGTTGCTTGCTTGTGGCCCCTGTTGTGAGTAGAAGACCATGGGAAGCTGGTGAGGAACACAAAGAGAGAAGGACAGATGGAGGGAAGGTGTTGAGTCAAGTTGTGGTGCAGGGGGAGATGTTGGGTGTTCACATGCCATAACCGAAGCTGGGCTGTGGGGGCTGGCCGTAGCCTGGCGCTGCTGTGTAGCCGTAGCCGTAGGGCTGCTGGGGAGGCACGGCCACGTTGGGCCCTGCTGTGAGCATGAGCTGGGGTGTGCCTGCAACAGAAAGATCAGTAGTTAAAAGTGCATGACTGTGGTTGTATAGTCAAAAAATGCTCTCTAGGTTTCCTTTATGACAATTATCACCTATGAGTTGTCTTTTTTACCGTAAACAATGGGTTGAGACTCGGTAGCCTGCTCCTCCTGTTTCCTCAGTGACTCAGAGGCTTCGAGTTTGTCCACCTGTGGAAAACACAACAACAGCGACGATGTCAGACTTCAGTTACGCTGCGGCCGACAGGGCTCTTGAAGAGCAAGGGCTGAGACGCTGGGTTTGTAAAAACTGACCTCTGGGTTATTTCACTGGCTGACGGATGGGACCATTCCTGACAGGCGAAGACGAATACAGTCCAGATTTAAATAAAAACAGGCTGCAGGAGGCAGGCCTTGCTAAAGTGTTGGGGGGCCCTCTAGCAGGCGGAAGGAGTTACTACAACTAGAGAGCTACTGGCTACTCTATGAAGCTTGGCTATAACAGTCTATCAGGTGGACATCCACTTCTTTGTCGAGAGTATTAGGGATTAAGGAGGAGACAGAGACAAACAGCTACTGGGCAATAATGGTCCCACCATCCAGCCACCCAAATCATCTACTCTGACATGTTGGAAATGTATGTAGAGAACCAACCCCTCACCAGCACATATAAACTTACTAAGACCAACATTTATCATTTTCACCCCTGTTAGTTTGTTCATCTCCCAGCAGAATATCTGCACACTTTTACTTTAAAATTGGTGGAAACAGACCAAAACACAACTTGATTAACCTTTGGCAGGCATTTGTCAGTAATAATTATGATACATTTTTAAGCTCTATGAACTTAACAGAGGTGAAGACTCGATTATGAAAGACATATCTCTAAAGATCCCTGCGTATTAATTAAACTTGGGGCTGAAACATGCTTTGCGCCTGTGTGCCATCCACAAAAATTGATGCACTCTTCACTGTCAGCCCCAAGTCTTAGCCTTGATTTATGAGACAGGTAAAGTGCTAAAAAAAAAGCTCTTTTATAAAAGTCCTTTAAAACTTTTTGTAGTCAATGTTGAGGTTACAGGAATAACATAAACTGATATTTAACAGTACTGAAAATGTACTGGATTCAAAACCACATATACCAAGTTTAGTGTAGTATGGGGTATGCTTAAAATAGGGCTGTACCCTAACAATTACTTTCAATTAATTAATCAATTAATGGATTAATTGTATGATCTGCAGAATGTCAAAAAATGGTGAAAAATGCCCATCACAATTGAGGTTATGTCATCAAAAGATTTGTTTTGTCTGACCATTGGTCCAAAACCTAAAAATATTCCATTTATTAACGCGTTCGATGCATATTTGGTTGAAAAATAAATTAATTACATAACAAAATAGTTTATTTATTTATATAATTGATTGACTAATTCTGTTGCCTTTAGTGGAAACTATCAAAAATACTTCCAGGTAAGAATTAACATTGTGCAAACATCTGTCGCCATGTTTGCCTATTCCGTGTTTTCCAATTGCCAATATTTGGAAACAAGTGATCGCCAACAATGTGCGAAGGAGTCAGTGTGTTTGAGAATTTTCAAATTTAGAAATGCATGCTTCTGGCCCCCTAGACAAAGCCAATTTAAGTCACTGCCTGTGTACGAACAGCTACAATAAGCACGAAGCTGTCTGGAGTATCAACTTGCTGGTATTTCTGTGGTGCTTTAGTATTTGCTAAGCAGCTCAGATGCAGACAACGGCAGTGAAAGGACTCAAGATAGAGCTAAAAAAACAATTCAGAGAGTTAAGCAGCCAGCCAAAAGCTTCAGATATTACCCTCAGATGACAGTGCACAGCTTATATCCTGATAAAACCAGCTAAGGACAATGCTAAATGGTGTAACAGGATAGTGGTTTTGGGTTCAGTTCTCTACATACTTTCTGGTCTACTACTAGAGTCAGTCAGTCTGGTTAAGCAGGCTGTTTTGAGAAAAGACAGGCTCTTTCGTTTCAGAAGAGAAGGGTTGAGAGACATGCTGAAGCGGCAGTTGAGTTATTGTCTTCTTGAAGAGTGCATGAGAGAGAAAGACAGAAGCAGAGAGCAAAGTGGAGGGAGTGTGAAAGAGGGCGGAGGGGAATGGTTTTGTACAGCCAGTTCAAGGTTTCCAGAAGCAGGCACAGCCAACAACGATGTCTCCTAGCCTGGCCTGAGTGCTGCTGATGCTACCAAGGGAGGGGGAAATGCATGCTTGTCGCTCTACATGTAAGTTTCCCCCAACAAACATACCCAAGCAGATATTTTGCTCTCATAAACTCAAGCTCAAGTTTGTTGCTTATAGAGACCACACTTTACAGTAGCAAAGGATACCTCTTTCTTAAAATGCCTGTACTACAGTTAATGGGTTTTATCTTCTGTGCTCTTCTATGGCGTTGAGATAAATTCAGCAGTACAGACAAACATGGAAAATAATAATAGAAAGGTCTCTGATGGTCACCTTAACAAACTAATGCCTCACTGGCTCTTCTATTATTGAAATTAGGTCTTACACTTAGCTGCAGTCTATGCTACAACACTACTGTCCACACACAGACACAAACATGCCCTCACCCCTCTCAACATAAAGATATAATCAAGAATTATCAATGTGATAAGCCTTGACGATCCCTTAACAATGTCTACAAGGTGAAAACACATTGCTCCTGAAATGATTGATGATGGTGCGTAGCAGCGGACTGCAGCTGAGCGGTGTTACAAGACAGTTTAACATTAGAACTGATCTACAAGTCTGGTGAGAAAAGGACCTGACCGGACCTATCCAGAGCGGCGCTCTTCACCCAAGCCTGAATAGAGCTGATGGGCATGCTGGCTTAAGTGGATGGCTCAGTGTGTTTGAGGAGAAAATGGTGATGGGGCATAGCAAATTATCACCGGACCAAGCTGTTCCCCTCAGTGCTGTGGGGCATCTTCAGCTCTGTTTTGGGTTTTCTGGCCAACAACTTTGTGTTTTTTTTGTTCACTCTCACTGTACTCATATACCGCATTTCCACTGCATAGTGCCATAGGACACAGCTTCCAAGTAAGCTGAGGCGATACTAGAAGGTGCAGTATAAACGACCACTGGACATCCTGCACAAACCCACTATCTTTAAATAGCCAAGCTAAACACATGTAACAACTCTCACTCTGAGATCTCTCCACTTTGTGCATGTATAGGTCCTGTTTGTGCATGTGTGTGTCTTTCAGACCTGTGTGTAATTGACAAGCAAGAGTGAAAACACTGAATTTCCCCTCAGGGAGATTAATAAAGTGAATAAACTTAAACTTAAACTATCCCCTGATACCTTAACTGAGGGAGTAGTATCTGCAGTGAAAAGTAAAATAGAGAAAACCACCTGGTACCGAAATGTGAGTCGAGTCGAGCCAAACCATGCAGTGGAAATGAGGCCCTAGTGTCTTTGGCAGCTGTGTTAAGCTCTAGTTTGCCAGATCAAGTGGTAATATGTCAGGGTTGTGTTCACAGTGTGTTTCCTGCTGCCAAACCCCCCCCCTCCCCCCCTCCTTGCAGGTTTAAGTCAGGCTTGGGACAAGAAAAATTAGCAATGGCCTCCAGCAAAATCTCATGGTGTTTAACAGCTGTTTGCAAGGTGCAAGTATAACAAACAAAACTGTCATCCTACAAATTAAATATAAATCCTGAGCTAATGCTGGCTAGCTTCAGTTACAGTCAGCGCTAATAATGTCAAGAAGGAATACAATGGTCACGTCTTGAACTTAAGAAATACATTTCCACACCTCCTCCTGCTGTGTGTTTTGTGCCTAATTCAGTAGCTGCTTGATCTAGAGCCATCACAGACACCAGCAAACCAAGCAGACCCCTGAGGGATGGGTGTGAAGAGCCCTGCTCTGGAGTCTCGTGGGTTGGTAGGTGGTCTAGTGGAGATGTGGAGTTTACAATCAGAAGCAGCAGAGTGACATGGGGGGAGAGGAGTCATGCAGTTTCTGCTAATTTTACTCCTCCAAACTACAGGCTACAGGACAGGGGAGAGGGGTCAAAAAGACTTTCACCTTTTCCTTTATCGCATCAACCTGGAAAGGAAATTCAGAGAGGCAACTTAAGGAGGAAAAAAAAAACCAAATGGAAGTCTCCCAAAATAGAAATTGACAGAGAGAAGAGCAAACACAGGGCTTGTCACTTAAAGAAAACACAAAAAATCCTGAGAGACAGATGCGGGTAATAACGCCACTTTTGATACAAATGCAGACTTGAGATCACTCTGGTACTCTGAGTACTCCCCTTGTTGCTTATAACAGTGTAACAAATACAATACATATATTTACTAATAGTAAGTTTAAAGGCATACTATGCAGGATTTTCCTTAAAAAAATAGACTTAGACAAAGTAATCCTCCTAAATTATCACTTGTGACCCACTAGCAGTGTGTGGTGATGTCTGTATCTGCAGAGAATCTGCCCTCTGCCTTTATTTTCTTATTAATTTGGTTTGTTCGAGTTGTTTCTGGGTGTCAACCTATGGGTAGTGGTGTGTAACCCCCAGCCAATAACAGTGTGAGGCCTGGACTCTATAAAAAAGTAGCGACCAGTTGTCTCTCTCTTTGCTCTGTGGATGCCAGCTGCAGGTGTGTGTGCTCTTTGATCAAGGGCGAGGTTGAGCCGCACGCACACACAGAGCAGAGAAGCCAAGCAGAGAGGATGACAAATGCACCTCAGTTGGAAATGCACAAAATCCAGAAATGCAGCACCTTCCTGCAGGGTTGTGCGAAGGTGTGGGTGGACTTTCTTTGCTTTAAAACATAACATAACAAAACTCTATTTCTCTGATTTACTGCTTTGTCCACCACTGCTCTTTCCTTCTCTTTGAAACAAGGAGGAGTGGCCAAGTTTGAACGTAGTGTTTACAAACAGAAAGCGACAAATCCTGCACAGTATGCCTTTAAACACGTTAACAAGATAAACTACATAATGTACTTTTCTTTTTCTGCTGTCTGTTATGAAAGCAATAGGTGGGCTGTTTTTGACGCCATGTAACAGAGAAATATGGCAGGACGAGCAACACAGCAGTTATGAACCTCCTCTGAACACATTTGTATGGAAAAGTAGCTTGAATGGATGGAGACCCAAATGAAAAGGAAAACACCAGTGATGACACGTGACCGACAGAAGCATAGGAAGATGGGCATGAATGGAGGAAAGAATAGGCAGTACTGGGGGGCTTATCTGTGATACGGTTTGACACTGCCTAGAGCTGAATAGTATTTGCAAACACGTTTTAACAGCTGCTGGTGCTTTTGTATGGGGACACCTATCAGTGGAAAAGCATTTAAGATTCATTTGATTTAATTTATTCCTGTGGTGCACCAATCTGAACAGGTCTGACATGGTAAACCTGAGACATGTGTGTGTCTCCACAGATTAGTACAAGTTTGCAAATACTATGTAACAAGTAAAACAACACCTGGAAGCAGGAGAAAAAATCCATAGTCAACTTTTGGGTATTCTTGCCTCTCTACCTTCTACAATATTCTCTCACTGTAGTTACCTTAGAATTGCAATAGGTATCTATAACACGATGCAACATACTTTTCTCTCTACAAAACCTTCTCACAAAGCCATCTACTTTGTCCTGATACGCCACAAACGCTGGTTACCTCTGGCCAACCCACCTTAGAGAGATACTCCCTCATGACCTGGATGAAATATGGCATGGAGAAGTCCATGATGTTGTGTCGCCAGGCGGTCTCCAGCACCACATCTGGCCGCAGCAGGTCGTAGCAGGTGAATAGGCAGGCGGCAAAACACTCCTTCTTGTCCTCATTCAGGAACCAAGCCAGGAGCTCCTCGGCCAGCTCGATATCTTTGGACTCTGATGCGTACTGCATGGCATCCTGCAGAGATGAAAGCACAATCACAGCTCAATAAACCAGACTCGGGGAAAGTGAAAAAAGAAATATTACTTAAAAAGAACTGGAGCATATTCTGAAAGTGTTTTAGGGGCCACGCACCTTATAGAGCTTGTCCTTCTTGCAGAGCTCGACACTCTGTTTCCAGCGGTTGTTGCCCTTGAACAGGTAGGCTGCGATCCTCCTAAACTCAATCAACTCGTGCTTCTCCAGGCCCTGGGCCAGCGAGATGTTGTCAAAGTTGTCATAAGCATCGATAGAAGTGCGCAGTGCCTAGACGGGAGAGGGGGGGGGGGGGGGGGGGGGGGGGGGGGGGGGGGGGGGGGGGGGGGGGGGGATTATGAGATACAACTGAAAATACAACTCTGTGAAAACATTTATCCTGCAGGTGAAACATTTGATCACTGATACTGAGTGCGCTGTGCTGGAAACAACAAATACAAACTTTTTTCATAACCTCAACCAGAGCCCCAAACATCTAAAACATAGATTACGATTTTATCTGTTATGATACACAGTGTACAATATAAAAATATCATACCGCATAGTCTTCCTCAATGATGAAGAGGTTGTTGAGTGCCTCATTTACTGACTTGTTGTTGTGATTCTGGACAGACCTTAGGTATGGTTTAACCAGAGGCAGCTGCTTCACCTGAACAATCAATCAGAAAAATAAACCATTAATGCCCATTTTCACTGCTTTATATATCATTCTCAACCAAAAACCAACTACTTGAGCGGGGAACAGTCACTTATAACTTACAACCATACATACAACCAAACACTTTGAGAATTGTTTACAGAAAGCAATAATGGCCCAGAACCTTGCTGAAGAAGTTGACAGCACGTGTGTGGTCCAGCCTTGGAGAGAGGACGATGAGCAGGTCGTTCAGTAACAATGGTTTGAACTCCAGATAAAACTGGATGGCCTTGTAGTACAACTCCACATTAGCCACCTACAATAAAAAAAGAACACACGTATACTCAAATTGAACATCTACAAATGATTTATACCACAATAACAGGTCAGTATTGTGCTTTGGAATTGTTGTTATAATAGTATAACTTGTTACCAGAATGACAAATGAAAATTAGCATCAATAATCAAGTATAAGTCGTTTTTTTTTTTAACCTTGGTGACAATGTCTTTGAACTGGCCCTCCTTCCAGGCATCAGCTGGGTGGTTCATCATGGTGATGATGGCGTTGTCATACTCTTCGTACTTGTCATAGAGGAACACCAGCTCCCCCCAGAGGTGGGCCTGCTCGGCTGCCCTGAGAACCTGACACACACACACACACACACACACACACACACACACACACACACACACACACACACACAAATAGGTTAGTTCGGCAAAAGTTTATAAGAGGATGTTACATGTTTATGTTGTAAAGATGATATCAAGATGTTGCTGCTGTTCCCCTCACCTACCTTTGGAATGTTGACGCGAGACCAGAAGAGCTCCAAGTGCTCCCTCATCTTCTGGGGTTTGAATTTGGAGTAGAGGATGGCCAGCTCAGTGAACATGCCCATGTGAGCACGCTCCAGACCCAGGGCGGCCTCCAACATGGTGATCAGCTCCTCAAAGTAACCGCGGTCCTGGAGGGTACAGGCAGACGTAATGACAGTTACCGTAACGCTTTAAACCAGAAATACAACCAAAATAAACACTGCAAAACCTTAAATTTGCATTTTCAACCCTTAATTTAGGGGGAAAGAGATTATTTCATTGGAGACTTTGAGAAGTTTGGTTAATATCTCACCTTCTCACCACCCCCATATACATATATTTATTATTGTTAAAATAGATAAATAGCTAAGCCACCGACAAAACTACGCAGCACAACTAAGAAAGTGCAGACGTTCCTCTACTTGGTTGCAGATGAAATAATTTTGCAAGTGTAACATTGGCAGATTCATGTGGCATCACTATGACGATCAGATGAGAAACCCGCCTACACTGAGGGGGGTACTATCTGCACTGGAAAACGATTGAGAGAGAAGGACCTGGTACCAAAAGTAAGTTGAGTAGAACCATTTAGTGGAAATGAGGCATTAGTTTGACAGGTGAGTTTCACACAGGCCCCAGTTACCTGGTAGTAGTTGATGAGTTCCTCCAGTTCATCGGCGTGGACGACAATATGCAGGCCACACATCTGGGCAAGACGGAACTCTTTCCCATCTACACACGCAAAACACACCTGAAGGAGAAGAGAATTGAATCAAACAATGTGTTTTGTCTTTACTGACACTATAGGAAGGCTTCGTGCTGTTTGAACTCTGACTCTTTACTCTTCAAAGAACGTTTTCTCTGTAAAGAGTTAAGAATGAAACTGTATCATCATTTCTCACCTCCTTCCAGGTGCGAGTGCTGTTGGCCTTGCGAGCTCCATCCACAGCTGCCTGGTACTCGCCCAGGTGCACCAGAGTGGAGGCCAGACGGCCAAAGTTGGACACGTTGTTGTAAAGCAATTTGGCTGCCTCGTACATCTTGTCATCATAGCAACGGTCACCCACCTGAAGAAAAATGGACAGTGAAAGTGAATTAAGGTAATGTGTGTGTGTGGATGTGTGCTGGACGTGCGTATGCTTCCCAGGACCTACTTGCTGAATGTGAGCATTATTGGGTCCGTTGATGAACTCCTCCAGCTCAGCCAGGCGGTTGGTCTTAGCCAGAGCAAAGATCAACTCTGTTTCAACGTACGACTCGCGGGCCTTCTTACGGGCCATCTGCAGAAACTTCACCAGGTCCTCCCAGTTTCCTGAACACAACAATCGACTCCAATCAGTTTCAACAGCACATCAGTCTACTGCATATTTACCAGAACACTGTTTTTACTAAATAAAACAATAAATGATAAAGCACAATGTATTTAACATTTATCTAAAATTCTAAACAGATCTAAACATCAAATAAGCTGGTCTGATAAAGTTCATCTTACCGCTTTGGGCTGCAGCTTGTCCCACCTCCATGTAAGCAGAGGGGTCATCGGCTTTGATGTAAGAGTCAATGGCTTCTTTGACCAGGCCCTTCTGAAGCTGGGCCTTTGCCAGCTGACTCCACACTGGTGGCTCATTGCAGCGCTCAGCAAACTCATAGGCTCTGTCCAGGTTACCAATGTGCTCAATGAGGACCTGGACAAGATGAGACAACATTCAGATCAAGCTCAATAACACTGGTGGCCATTATCGTCAGGTTCTGGATCAAGTATGGACACCAGAATAGCATGCCCCATTTAAAACAGTATAAAAGCTTATGTGACGACAAGCAGTGATTCACTTACCTGCACAGCAGAGGTGTTCACATCAAATTTCCTAAAAATAGCAAAGGCCTCCTCAAACAGCTCATTGCTGATGGCGATGTTCGCAATGTCTGGGGCATCGTAGTTGTCCAGACGATTGATGTACTCCATAACACGTGTCCGATCAGCTTTAATGGCTGTCAGGATTAGCAGATTCTGGAGGTTTCTGAAAAAACAAACAAAAGACTCACTTTATAATTTTACTAAAAAAAGCAAAATACATTCTCAATTGAGTGTTTTTGAATGTGAACGCAGTTCAAGATGCTTCTACAAAAATTACAGCAGTTCATCAGTTGAAGACTAGGTTCAAGTGACTTGCTGCTTACTGCCCTACAAATATCTTTGATGTTTTGGAGATTGTAGCTGCGTCTATCAGCTTCACAATCATGAAAATGTAGCCAGCAAAAAAAAAACAACTTTGGGATATACAGGTAACATCGAGCCTCTCTCACCTGTGCTCGCTAAAGACAGAGTTATCCAGGACAATCTTCTCCAGAAGCTCGATGAGCTCATTGGGAAGATCGGCGGTCATGAAGGCCTTGACTGTAACAGACACCTCCTCTGGATCCTGGGTCTCAGACAAGGCTGTTTGGACAACCTGCAGCAAAGAGTGACGACAGACTTGATACACTACTGCTGATGTTTTAAGTAAATATCTGAAATGCCAGCAGCTTTTTGTATTAACAATTTAAGAGAATCAGTTCATGTGGCATAATTTAGTGTCAGATATGCCAAGGGGTCAGACCTGGTCGATGAGTGGTCTTCTGTAATTGTTGGTCTCCAGCAGCACGCTCGCCCACAGCTCAGGGTTCTTGCGACGGACAAGGTAGCGGGACAGACTCTTGAACAGGGAGTTCTCATTGCACACCTGAAGCGTGATACACAAAAACAGTTAGCATGAGCGACAACAACAGTGACATGTTATGAAAGTAACGTATGCACATTTCCAACATAATAGTCTTAATTTATAAAATTACCCATATTTTTCAGCCCTTTTTAAAAGTATGATTTCAGTTTAAACTCACATGAATCAGTTCCTGGTCACACTGTCCTCTTTCATAGGCCACACAGGCCAGGTGTGGGTCTCTCTTCTCACAGTACTTGCCCACCACGCGGCTATCGTAGTAGGGGTTCTCCCTCAGGAAACGCTCAGGGTTGTTGTTGCTGTCGATGTAGATCTTGGCCAGGGCGTTGTGGGTGGCAGGCTCCTCACAACCTTCATGAATACGGGCCTCTAACCAAGGCAGCAGCAGCTTCAGTCTGGAGAAACATAGACAATAAGGATTTCACAGGACTGAAGAGAAAACAAGCTGCTGACTCATGACTCTGTAAGGCTAAGTAATGACTCAATGATTCCACTATTGCCATGCAGTTCAATTACCGATTTCTTTTCTCCACCTCAGCCACCAATTCATCTGTAGAGAACTGCCCTCTAACCACCATAATCAGGTTCTTAATCACATCCTCAGCACAGTCCACATCCAGTAACCCTCCAATGACTACTGGCAGACGGCTTGGGTTCACCTGGAATAAATGATCATGAAGTTACTACATATTCATGGAAAAAAAATGCAAGAAATAGTTTTCTTCAAGTAGAGTGAGGCAGTCCAATATCTAAGGTATTGTTTGCATCAGTGAGGCAGTATAAAACTTAGGGGGATTGAGAGAGCAAACACGACACAGGATGCAGTTTTTAGTCATGGCAGACTAAACAAAAGCCTTTCATTGTAGGTTGAGTGATATTTTATTCATCATTCTGGGTTTTAAAAAACACCATTTCCACCAGGCTCAGAAGTAGAGATGTGCCAGTACTAAGCTAGGTATCTATACATTTCCTTTTATCTATTCTATTACTGTAGAATTATGAACCCTGCCTACATGCAGTTTATTGTCCCACCTGTGGCTATTTACTTAAGAGAATGCGAGTCTCTGTACTGTTTGACTCTCATGAAGACGCACCTGGTATCAAAACTTAAGCACTCTAATAAGGTTTGTTGCCCCAAGTCTGTGTGCTCCAATAGACTTTGACCCAAACCTCTGAAGTCTCTCCTGATACAAGATTGCCCTGCTCTGAGATCACCAGACAAGCCTGCAGATCCTTGTGAGGCATTTTAAGCGTGTTATACGTCTTCCTTCGAGCAGTAACGTACCTTCTGCACGTAGATTTCAATGTATTTCTGCAGGCTGTTGCGGTACAGGTACAGGACCAGATCATGGACAAAATCAAAGCGGTCACACACAATGATCAAAGGCAGCTGGTCAGTCAGCTTGGCTTCCTGTAGAGGAGAATTACAGAAAAAAGTATTAGCTAGTAAATGCTATGTTTGTTGAATGTTGGTCTGAATAGAGTACTAGCAGAAATGTTTGTAGTGAAATGTTTATTCTGCACTAATCCATTTCTGACCTTGAGGAAGTTCTTCACACGTTCAGGGTCATAGCAGTTACTCTCTCGGCAGATTCTCTCCACCTCTTTGATCTGGCCTGTCTTGCAGGCCGCCTGGATATATTTAAAGTGGACCTCTGGATCCTGGCTGAAGTTCACAATGGAACCCAAAAAGTAGAACAAACCTGAAAGACAAAAAAGTCCAAATCAGCAGGAGAACTAACTGCAACTATCTTTTAAATCTTCTTAAAATGCACAGGAAAGGCAAATGGCACTCAGTATATGCCTGTCTTACCTTCAAAGCTCTTGAATGACTCAAAAAGTTCAGTGAGAGACTGAGTGGTGAGCTGCTCATGGTACTTAGAGGCAACCTGGACACAGATCTGCAGATTCTGGCGGATGTTTGCAGACAGCATGGCCCTCAGACACTCCAGAGAATCCTCCACTGACAAGGAGCCAAAGAAATTCACCAACCACTGCAGAGACAAACATAGAACAATCAACAATACAACAACGAACACAGAAAACCGTGACGTGTTATCAATATTTGTTGCTGGAAGTGTTTGTATTTTCTGTTCTTTGAATTGCGTTGTACCTCTGGGTTGAGAAGGTGTGTGTGTACCACAGCGCGCTTAATATCATACAGGTCGGTGTAATGCTCCAGTGCCCTCTGCAGGAGACCGGCCTTCTCACACAGCTGTGCCACATGGGCACGATCATAATGGGTGAACATCTGATTGCCCAGAATGGCGTCTGCAACCTGCAAGACATGACACAGGGACAAAGACATTTCAACATTTTTTAAGCTTTGCTGGGAAGAAACTTTGCATATAGGCATGGGGAATTTGATTTTTTTGTAGAAAGCAAACATACTGAGACACTTTTTAGAAAAAAGAGAGCGAAACCTCAAGGGTTAGTTTCTAAAAGCACAGAAAAAGAAAGTCTAACTGCAAAACAATGAAGCTATATAAAACAAATCTGTAACTGAACAAGATGATGATTGTTTTATTTTTTGGGCATGTGGACATCTGTCAGCCAAAATAAATTGTGGTGTTCCAATTCTAAATCAGGTTGTTTATGTACCTGTGGTGCGTGCACCAAATTCATTTCCAGCAGGCGTGTCTGCAGTGGACCCTCCATGGGTCTGTTATTCTTCAGGGCATCTAGTAGGAAGGATGTGCACTGCTGGATCAGGTTGTACTCCATGAACACATCAACAATCTGTAGACACAAAAGAGGGAAATAATCATGTCAAACTCCTCACCAAAAGACTGTGTGCTTGGATTTTTTTTTTTAATCAAGTAACAGCTTCCTTCAATTTAATTGTTTGGTTATTGGGTATGGAGCAGTAGCATTCGCATAATCCTGCTCTCTTGGTGAAAACCATCTTACATGATGAAAACCATGTTATTTTTGTCTATCTGACATGTAGGTGCTTGTGGTATTAATAAATGGTTGAGATGTGGTCTTTGTTTTTACCTGTGTAATGTCAGCAAGTGGCTCCTCATCCTGAACCAGCATCTGGGAGAACTGAAGACCCTGCTCTGGACTGATCCGCATTACGTTTCTTAGCAGGAAGATCCAGTCTGGAGTGTAGCCCACCTACAGGGACAACACATCTTTAAGCAAAATAGTCCTACACCTGAGGTGTGTCATAGCTACAACTGAACCATATAAAACACAGAAATGTAAAGACAACAGCGGAACATTGATTAAAAGTTTGCGAAATAGTCTTACGGAGGATCATATTCTCTCTCCTTTCTCTGTACCTCTAATATAATACAAGATAAACTTGGAATAACAAAGTCAGGCATGGCCACAAACCTTCTTGGCGTAGAGGACAATCTTCTGGAACTGTCCAGTCTCTGCAAAGCACTGAATGACCTTATTGGGGACGTTGGCTCTGAGGTAGACACTGAGGGCAAGAGTAGGATCTACAGACTTCACCAAATCTCCAAGCTCCTCAGAGCACTCCAGCTGCAAACACAAAAACAAAGAGTGCAATTAAGAACTGGGTGTGCAATGTTCCATTGATTTGGTTCAATGTATCGATTAAAGGATCGACAATCCAATGTTATTGATGTAAAGTGAAAACATTAATCCATATCATCATCTTAAAAATATGCCTTTATTTTGAAATTTCCAGAGCACGTCTGTGTCACCGCCACACAGTGCTAGTACCAGGCAGATAATGGCAAGCAGCCAAAACAAGACAATGAGGATATTTACTCCCCTCCCAGGAACAGATGAGCAGAGTGGTAATACTGTGGATTCAATAAATAAAGCACATGCTATATGCAAACACCACGAACCTCTCTAGGCATCTAACTCTGCTAACTTGTTTCTCTTGCTGCAGCAATATTAGCCGATCTGTTTTAACAATATTAGGCTGAAAACCTGTGCAGTTTTGTTGGGAGATGCAGTGACCAAGACCAATGGTGAGTAAGAAAAAGTAGAAATAATACATGCCATTTTTAAACTACGAGTAGAGGAAAAGTCTGCTGGCCACTTGGCTAATTTATGCTAATGCCATAGGCTTAAAGGAACAGTGTGTAAGATTTAAGTGGCATCTAGTGGTGAAAACTGTAGATTACAACTGAAGCTTCTCCCGAACAGAATTCCTTCTGTGATCATTGTTCAGAAGGTTTCTACCAGGAGCTAAATTATCCACACAGGTTTCTTCACAAGGACTGAATAAAGCAGTTTTACGTTTCAGGCTAAAATGTACTTTACTTTCATGGCAATAAAGTTCAGGCCAAATAATGACCAACAACTGGACACATACCTTGTCCTCTTTTAACCATTTCTCGAGCAGCTGTTTGCGTCCCTGCTGGAGGACAGGCCTGCACAGCTCCAAAGACTCAAACTTGTTCAGTTGGCCTTGGTCCAGCAAGATGCCAAAGTATTGGAGCAAAGGAGACGTCTGGCCTGGTTGGGCTGGAACACTCTGGAACCGACGGATGGTGTCTGGGGTGCGCAGGATACCCTGGAAAGAAAAGATAATTGACAAAGTACTTAAGTGACAATGGGAAGATCTGGTTTTAGGAAAATCACCTTTGAGTATTGCATAGAAAAATGGCGGTGTAAAGTTACATTAAAGTGACATTCATGGCTGTATTCCTTTGAGAAACTTCCTCTGCAGGGGGTTAATCTGTCCAACTGCTTTTAAACCATTTTGGTATGCAAATCTAAACTTATTTGACATAAAACTGGTGTTTACTGTCATGCTAAGCTAAAGAAATCTGCTTAGTCTTAACAGTCTGAGCTTGTATTAGTTGAACTGTGAATAATGTCACATTGCTTGACCCCGCACAGAGTGCACGGTTGCACACTGGCAGTACCTTGGGTGCGTTGGCCGCCACCTTGGCAGCTTCTGAGTAATTCCCCGCTGCAAAGAGGGTGTTGAACTTGCGGGCAAAGAGCTCCTCAGCACCAGCCAGGTTGTTGCGGACAGCCATGCGGAGAGCCAGGTCTGGGTTCTGGAGCACATTGGTGATGTAGGGAATGATGTTCTCCTCTTCCACGCACACCGACAACACCTGGAAAAGCATGTTTGCATTCTTAATTATCTGCACGCAACATAAGATTCCTAATGGATAGCTTTAAAACAATGCAAACAAATGCATTTTCATGTATTTTATTCATCTGTCCATTTAAAAAAACAAAACAAAACAAAACAAAAAAAAAAAACAACTACCACTACTGTAGGTGCCATGATTTTGATTGTAAATAAAAAATTGATGGACATGAGCTTTCAATATCAATGCCAAAAGCAGGATCGCTGTCCCTCCGCCATCGATGCGCATGCCCAAAAATAAAAAAAATGTTTAAAGATGATACAGCGTAGCTTGCCGTAATCCTACAGCTGCACTTTGAGACACCATGGCCACTGCAGGAGTCAGAGATGACTGAGAAACAACATAAATGGAAAAAACCCTGCTTCACTGAAGTCAACAGTGTGACAACAACTGCCTTTCCCATGAGCTATGTAGACAAAAAACACATCCTTGCCTTCCAAATTACAGTTTGTAGGCTATGGTAGTTAAGTGAAATTGAAGCAAGGATCTGGTGGAGGTGAAGGAAACTGAAGTGGCACCACATGTGCCTTTCAATGAGAAAGGAACAGATACTGAAAATTTATTAGCAACAATTTGACACCTGCTCATATAACCAGTGCACTCTGAACTGTAACAGTAAAATGTTGGCACCTCCTTTGTGTGTGCCTCCTCATGAACAAATAGATTTAAATGATTTATATCCTAACACGTGTACTTGTCACATTCTTCAATTACAAAGAGGGATTGTGGTGTGTAGTATTACATTTTGTGTGTATGTGTGTGTGCGTGCCTGCAACAAACTGAGCTCTATCTGGTAGACCTGCAGGTAAGAGCCAAGAGCAATAACAGGATTAGATTGTGCAGTCTGCTTGGCCAAGCTTAGCCCTCCTGCTGTGAATGTCACATGCCGCCTGACACCGAAGATGCTGCTGCAGTCTGTTATTTTCAGAGATTTCCTCTGTCAAGGTCACACGGAAACACCCAAGGACCCGTGTTGACAGACAAAAGGGGCTGACATACCACAGGGAAAGTGAATCACTAACAAATATCAGCAGTGACAGACAAACAAAAAGATTTAGATATAACCACTATGGGTTTATATCTGTGTGCACACCTATGTCATGTTTTTGGAAGATATTAATACAAACTGTTTTTTAAAACAACTGCTTCATGGTTGTAATTGGTTGCACTTGTCACCCATTTCAAACCCCCACAAACACCATTTTGGCACAACCAACACCCCAAATTAAACATGATAGATAATTAGCAAAGTATCCTAGAGGTCAACAAGATTTATGATGAGCCTGGCTATTCCACAGACAATTATAAAACAGCCTGCACTCATTGACATTACACTGCATGGATACTGCAAAGATTTGCAAGCCAGACACCTGATGCCGTCTCATTAGTCAGTCCAAATAAGAAGTAATCCAGCGTCTGTCAAACACTGCTTACTTTTAATGTTTGATAATTAAAATTTATATTAAATTACTTTACAAGAATATTTTCTTCTTCACAATAGAGAAATAATTTTTTCATGTGTTGTTATAGCCAATTATTGAGCACTTACACCAACTAACATGCAGGCAAAGAGGTTTTATGATCCAGTTTGATCTTAACGTGAACATGCATCCATGTTATGTGCCCTGCTGTCACTTTAAGAATGTAAAAAGGTAACAGAAGTTTAATCTTAACACAAATTTCCCTCTCTTACATAAATGTGTGCCAGAGTGTGTACATTAGAGTACCTGTCCTTTCCTGTTGACTCCAATGATACCCGCAGTAGGCTCATGGGGGGCAGTCACAAAAATAGTCTCCCCACTGATCCTGTTCATGTAGATACAAGTCCCAGTCTCCAGGTCATACAGGTGGATGTAGCCATATTTGGTAATGAGAAAAACTACATCTTGCTTGGAACTGATCTGGATTTACAGAAAGAGAAATCTGGTTAGAAAGTGTAAATGCTAAACAAAAAGATACATTAAAATGCACTTCAGCAAACCATTCGACCCTGAGCTGATTAAGTACACCCAGGTCCCTGTCTGAATTCACACAGATCAGAATGGCCTTTTTGAAACTGTGCAATTTCAACACATTAACTCATCATCAAATAATGAGTCAGTAACAGTTTCATGTTTTAACAGCACTTAAATAATACCTGTCATTAGCAAAATCCAACCCAAGTGTAGACGATTCATAATTTTTTTAGAATACCCATTTAAAGAAAATGTTAAAGGCAGTGATGAACCAATGAAGAGTTTGCTTCCCACCAAAGGAGGCGGGAATATTGTTTACTGAAAAATCACATCAGGCAACAAGTACAGGCTCTATATGTTTCCTTGTAAGTAGTTTTTGTACCTGCATGGCAACTGGGAAGTCATTCTGGGCTTCTGGAGGAAAGAAAACATCCACAGCTTTCTTTGGAAATGGCTGGTTCCCAGTCGGCGGAGTCCCCACTTCAATGATATGCAGCTAGGAGCAAAAAGGGGTTAACACAAAATGAGACAAAGTCAGGTTACAGGATTGTTTTTTCTTTTAAAAGAAGAACATTTGATTAGGATTGCGCATGCTCCCAATTCTTATTGATTTTCTCTTTTCAAATAGGTCTGTTGTCACAGTTCTGGCAATTCTTACCTTTCCTCCTGCCTGTCCTCGCACAGCAAAGCAGAACAGGGTTGACTCCTCAGTGTTGCCCTCCATCTTGAACTGTGCAAAGCCTGCGGCATGCCCCTCGATGGGCTGAGACACCTTTCTGTCCACTGAGTACAGCTGCATGGCTCCGACAACACGATTTTGCTGAAGAGGAGAGAAAGGCCACAAGTTAGGCCAAAGGCGTCTGTGATTTATAATCATTCCCTTTAGGCTTTATTGATCTTTAATACCTCTGCTTCCAGCATCACCAAGATCAATGAAGTCTATGATAACAAATCTGCTGTTTCTGTGACCAAACTTAAACTGCAATATTTAATACAAACATACAGATGGGGGCCTAATTAAAGGAAAAAACTGAATGGTTTGGTGAGTTTGGATTTTCACATTTTTTAATTTCTACCAAAATTTTATTAAGAATAAGCACACCAACAATATTTAAGTAACAGTTTGTATATTTTGAATGCCACTGTATTGGCAGTAACATGCTGTTCACAACATACTTTATTAACTTTTGAATTTAATTTCAAGCAAGATAATTTAATTACTTCTGATTTTACATGGTTATAGACAGGATCATCCTGTAATTTGAGCTAACTTTCATTTTAATCCTCTCAAACATTTACATTAAAATGCCTAGTCAGGGTCACTCTGAACATGACTACTATCTTGTCTTGTCTGTGTCCTCTTTGTGTTATTAAATTATTTTTAATTCTGAAGAAAACGGATGTGTCATGACAGCATATAAAAAGTGTCAATTGTGAGTCTCACAGTTAGTGCATGAGAGTTGGCAGCCCTGAACTGAGCTGTGTAATACATGCACAGCTTAAATTTTACGCACACTGCCGTGCATATGCAGCAGATATTTAAATCCCTGAAAACAGACTACTGTACAATTGCTCAACCAGACTGACAACTGACTGGACAGAAAGAGGGAAAAGATACCTCTAAGCAGCAAGTGGAACAAAATACCAGCCACAAGTAAAAGAAACTGGAAGCTTGGCATCACAATGTGTGCAGATTTATGTAGAAACAGTTTGCTGTTTCAGTGCCTGTAACAAGCTGGAATTAACAGGCAGTGTTCTACTTAAGCAAAGATATTCTTAAAATGTCAAAATAGAAATGGAAGTTTAGCCAAGGGTTGAACATACTATGGACTGACGAATCACAGTTTAAATTTGTTCAATCTAACCACTGGGTAGACTTCAGAAGATCCAATAAAAAATGGCTTTCCAGTGTATTTAGAATTGCACTGTTGGGGTCAAATAATGATCAAGGGTCACTTGTGCTTTATGGGACTGAAAAAACAAATTCACATTTGAAGGTTTTTTGGGGGGAAAAATGTTCACAGCAGTACTCTCCAGTGTGGTATCAATGTGTGGACACTGACAAAATTGAACTTTAAATGATTTTACTGTTCTTTTACTGTGATTTTACTGCCAAATTTACTGCAAATGTAAATGATACATATGTTGTCTGAATTATACTATTTTTTTGCTAATAAAAAAGGAGGAAAACTTAACAAAAAAAAATGGTTCTCCTGTATATTACTGGCAAGTTAGATCTAAGTATATTATTTAACTGTGGCACTGATGCTCTCTAATGCAGTTAACTGTTTTTCGAAACAGAGACAAATACACGTGTTAACAATATTTGTTCAAAATAATTACCTGCGCTGAAATGCCAATGAGCAGCAACCACTTCTGTTTGGCGTCAGTGCGGTAGTTGATGATCTGGCAGCCTGCCAGGCTGGAGTGACGGTCAAAAACTTTGATTGGCTGAGAATCTCCCTCCATGCTCCAATGGTAGACTGCGTTGTCTGTGACCAGGGCAACAGTGTTGAGGGAGATCCATTTCCAGAAGGTCACGTCATCTGTCATTGTGTGAGCCTTCATCTTGCTCTTCATCTCAATGTTGAAGATCTGCAGGGTCTTTGCAGCTGAAAACATTCAGAACTGAGGTTAATATACAGTGACGCAGATAAGTGCTGTGACCCCCCCCCGCCGCCCTGCCCCAAAAACATTCTAATAATAACAGTGAAAAAAAATCAGTTAGTGTCTAAAGCTACCACACACAACACACAGCAGACTTTGGGAGTAAACATAGCCTACAATTTGGGCATACCAACTTCCAATTGCTGGAGAAATGTTGGTACTAGTCAGGGTTTGGTTTGAGTAACACCAAAGGACCATACAGAAAGCCAGTACCAGTGTCAAAACAAGAGGCAAGACCAACAAAGGGGCAACCACTGTTGGATCTGCATTCAGTTCGGTCTGATGCAATAAACTGCCAACTAATATCCATTCAGCTGAGGCTGGATATGCAAACCTCTTCTGATAATCTGGAGCGGAAACTCATCTTTAAAACATATTTAATTATGAGGAAGTCAAACACACTAGGCTGTAATCAGACTGGCATCAGCACTGCATCAAAAATTAAGTCCTCTCATTCATTTCAATGAGTCCATGGTTGACACCGCAAAGGACAGCGCCAAAAAAAGTTGAACCTGGGTCAACTTTTTCCACCACGCTATGCATGTCATAAGGCAAGGTGCTACTTTGGCTCAATCTGCACAGGTGCAGAGTCCAGCTAGATTCATTTGCAATGTTGGGGTATCACTACAAAGGATGCTACAACGATTGTCACTATAATTATTTTCCTAAATTATAAAATCCTGTCTCGTAGGATGTACAATGTTGTGCAGTGTTTTGGTGTCCAATTAGCCTTTAAACTCCAGGATCTAACACTCAAACTGGACTTCCTGGATCCAATTTCTTCATCCCAGTTGTACTTGTATAAAGATGCCTGCATCAATAAAACAGTGCTATTTTAAGTCTGGATGCTTGCTTAGAGATATTACTACTACTACGGCTACTACTACACTTCCTGTTCCTCTTAAATGGATCAACAATAACTTTTTCATTATGTTTAGATACAATGGTCCAATTCTCCACAGGTCTTTTCAGCCAAAACCAGTTCTATTAGGAACCAACGTCTGCAGAAAAACACGGTGCCCAGTGCAAGTCAAAATGAGGCTTTATGGCCTGTGTCCAGCCCTCCACCCCCACCACCTACTAGAGAAATGAAACTCCAGGCGTGTTGTTATAGCTCTTAAGGGATTCACATCAAAATTTAATCCTAAAATGAGGGATATGGGAATTTGGGTTGGGTCTGAATGCAGATTAGCAAAAGAAGACCACAAAGCACACAGACAGATGTAATGATAGGAAGGATGCTGGACGGATGCACTAACGCCCATTCTGTTTTTTCTGGTCTTACTGGAGGAAACATTAATTCTTTAGGCCCAAGATGTACATTTAGATTCAATCAGGCCCAAGCAAGCCTCAACCAAACGAAACCCTATAACTCATCGTTAATAAAGTATATGAGTGGAATGCGTACAGTGACATTTCTGAACAAATGTTTTGGTAATACTATGTGTACGGTACACTGAAAAATACACTGCCTACATAAAATACAGTGACATGTAGTGAAGTGAAAATCTGCAATTAGTTATCTTCAATCAACCCATACTGAAGCAGTTCTATAAGCAACTTAAAACTACTCCTTTGGCATATTATGAACATTCGTACACCCAGAAAGCAGCAGCGTCCACAAACAGGCCAAACTGAGGAAAGCAACCACAAGAAAGACCAACATTTGGCTTTGGTCTTTGCAGTGTCCTGGGGCTGGCTGGTCAAGATTGTCCCTGCACATTCAGCTGATTTGGGGGACTGTTGTCGCAGATTAACCCATGATCATCATCATTCTCAAAACCCTGACAATGCAACTCTAGTTGCCTACACAATAATGCTAAACAACAGATTTTTGATGCATAAAATTAGCAACAAAAAACATTGTTTTAGCTCAGTTTCACTCTCTTGCCAGGTCACTGTCAAGGTTGCTTGTTCTCTTACTGGGAGCTGGAATAGACCCAGGCAAGACAAAGTATAAGATGTGCATTTCAGCTTGCTCTTTAATTGATAAAATATGTATATTTAAATTATGTATTATTGTAAGTGACTGTGCCTCTCCCTGTGTGATTATTCTGTGCTTTGCTACATGTCACAATGTTGTCTTTGACTGCATCACTGGGCTACAAAACAAAACAAAACAACATACCAGTCATCTACAAATCCGAACAAATGTATGGTCCTCTGAAGACGGACATTATACAAATATTAAGAATAAATTCAGTTAATATAATCACACACATGTGGCACACCACTCAAATGAGAACAACTAATGTAGCCTTTGTGCTTTGCACATCAGGCAGACTAAACTGGCCCAACCTCATACCAATTTGTCCACAAGACAGCCAATACACAACGATGCACTATTTATTCAAGACTACCCTAAATGTCACTGCTTGCTTAATTTTGCCGCTGTTTAAATGACCATATCATTTTTTCTGCATGTTTAAGCCCTTTTACTACATACATACGTACTATACATTACTACCAACCATTTTCCAATGCACATAATAATTTGAAACATTTCCGTAAATTCAACTGATTTTCCATTTATGCCAGGGTTTGCTATTCATTGAATTTTTAACACTCAATTTATACATATCAATTTTCTAGCGGAGATGTGTATTCTGTTATGTGGTTGCCTTCAGATTGTGACTGACAGCTTACAGCAGCTGTGTTATTGAATGCTGACACGCTTTTTTTCTAATAAAGAGGCAGCCAGATTTACACCTTTACGTGCTTTTCACATTACCTATGTTTGCCTTCAAATTTGCTATTTGTGAGGTAACGTCTGGTCAGACTATTCCTTCAACTATGTTTAAGAAAATGGCCAGCTGTAATATAAAATATATGTACAGCAAATGGGACAAACACACACAAACAAACAAAGAAAAAAAAGATACAGTCCTTTAAGCTGCCCTCTTAATTTTGCTATGCTTGCTTGTGTTATTGCAAATCCAAGCATTCATTAAAATTACCAACTGTGCAAACATCTCAAGACAGTGCAAACAGGATTACACTTTGACAACTCATGATATGTAAAATTCAACTCACCGTCTGCAAACATAAGAAAGCAGTAGGAAATGAAAAAAGAGCAAAAACAAGCAAAATAGACAAAGCATTCATGACAGCATGACATTTTACTACCACTAATACTATAACTACCTTCCCTAAGATATCAATGTCTTGTACATTTAAATTTGTTACACTATTAGTTACTCAACCCTTCTTTTGACAAACAGAAATGGGGTGGTCTACATATGAACATCAAATGAAAAGCAGACTGTGAAAGCTACATAACTGACTGACAACACAAACAAAATTTACACAATGACCCAATGTATTAGAAAAACAACATATGTGACCGGCCAAAACTTTAACTGTTTACTTCTTAGTCTATCTGCTTCCAGAAAACTAGCGCACTCCTCTCTAGGTGGCACATAGAGCTATGTGCTAACAGCGCTAGATATGAAATTCAGCTACAGCTTACCTTTGAGAGCAATAACTTTGCTGGCAGGGTTCATGATGGCGCTGTCTGCAGAGATGGGCCTGCGGATGGGATTGTTGGGGTCAGCCATATCGATGATGACGACCTGTGCCTGCTCACCCACTTTCTCTCTTATACAGATGAACTTGTCGGACTCCATGGTTAGAGTGCTGAATCCAATGTTGGCTGGGTTGATTCCCAGATTCTGGAGCTGAGATATGAACAATAGACTTGTTTTAGGAGCAATCCACAGCCAACACAATTTACCACAAAATGATGTCAAGGATGAAACGATAATTTAAAGTACTTCACATATTTACATTGTAGTCCTTTATGTAAAGACAGCAGATGTGCTGGAGCTCATGTGGCCAGGTGACATCATGTTACTAACACCTAAGGCATCATCATCTCTGAAGTCATTTCAAGTCACACTTAAAAATAAATCAGAAAAAAATCTGATTTTTTTTTTCATTATAAATAGGATGATGAGCTTACACTTTTAAGTGTCCCATAAACCACAATTTTACCTTATTTTTTTTTAAATTACGCTGATCACTTTTTTCCTTTTTTTTTTTAAAATCCTAAATATGCAAGGATATCTTCAAATTATTGGTACAACCAAACCTAACAGAACAAGTGGCTATGTTGGTATTAAACCCTGACAAGCACATGTCAAAACAACTATCTGTAGTCTTGTTTTCTGTACGTAAAGTGTCCTTGGGTTAGAAAAGAGGAGCTTAATATGAATTTGTGATTATTATTAGTCTGTTTTGCAGTAGTTCTTCCAACTCTATACTGGTTTCGATACATGTGGGCTCTGTCGTTAAAGTCATTATGAACTGTACTGGAATAGTAGATGTATCGTGCCATTCTCCAATGGTAATCACCCGTGGTGTGGACTATGTACCAGCTTATTAGGCACACCTACCTAACACTATTGACTGTACCAAGTTAAACTGACAGGTGTTTCTGTTATTTTGTCCACCCTGTCTCTATCAATGAGTAGGCTAGATAACAAACAACCGTCTCTATATAAACATATAAATATAATTAACAGGCACATGGCCACATAGAAACTGCCTTCTGTAGGGTTAAATCTCGAATTTAAGGTTTTGGTGAGACCACTGGATACGTCTAATAACCGCACACAATCAGAAACTGGGATGTACCAGCTGATCTTGACTTTGACTGAGCTGTCTCTAATCCGTTTCTAGGTGTTTTCATAATGTATATGTTTAAGACAGAGAAAAATGATGATGTCATTACAGGCAGGATGGGTGGACCACCTGGTTCACCTCCGACAGCAGGATGGGAAGGTAACATTTCACATGGAGCACCATCTAACGCAGAGAAAAACCTCAGACTCTGCCTTCAGCTGTATAAATGGCCTGTCGTGACACAACATCACGGTATGACATAGGCTCCAGTCGGACTGCAGCTGACCACAGTTTCACAGCTACTAGCTAGCTTCAGTGCATCACTTGACACATCATCAGCATCACCAGGGGGCCTGTGTGATAATAACATTACAGCTGCATTGAATCGGCCATCCTAACGATACACTTGGATGTTCAACGAAGGAATACACGGCTGCAATTAAATGACGTGACTCCAACATCCCTCACGACACAAACTGTGACGGTTAGCTAGCTCATGTAATAGCTATTTGCTAACCAAAATGCAGCCATGCATAGGTCAATAACACAATAGCTGGTCACTGAAGGTCAGAATAAGTGTTCAATGATAACTAGTCTCTCCCCCTGGTCGTCGTTGACAGCTAACATCGGCTAGCGTTGAGTCGGCGAGGCAACAGCATCAGTGCAATGAATGAGAGCTGCTAGCCTGAAAAGCTAGTTGTTAGCTTAGCTGCTGACTAAACGGGGGAGGGGAGGTCATTCATTTGCTGCGGGTATTGACGTTTACCGTTAGCTTTGCTAGCAAGCTGTCAAACGGCCGTTAGCGGGGAAAATCAACAAATAACGCTGATGTTAGTGTTCATACAGTTTTCAGGTTTGCCCACATACCTGCAGGTGCTCCTGGAAGCGGATAGGCAGGATTTGAGCCATGGTGGTTTCCTTGAGCTTCACCGGAGTCCTGAAATCCTAGCCGTACAGCTAGCTAGCTAGGCAGTAGCACCGCGCTAGCTACGACCTCCTCACTGTACGTGTAGGTCGGAGCCAGTCAGTGAAAACAAAAAACACACGATGAAGGGTAATATGCGGCGTTGTTAGTCGTGTTCCCGGAATCTGGTATCAGTTAAAATGTTAAATACGTCCCCCTTCTGTGTGTGCTTTCTGCACTGCATCGATGGATAGCAGTGGCTACGGCTGATCTTCTGTCCAAAATCCGCAATGGCGGCGGAAACGGCTCAGAGCCTTCTCAATCCGGAAGCATCTAGGGAGCTCTGGAAGGACACTGGCTCTGGACCTGTGTTAGGGATCGGTATCATCAATTTTAAAATGTTCAGCAAAATAACACACTCATTGTGTTTCTACTCTCAGCAGCTAAACACATTGTAATCTATTCTCAATAAAACCCACTCACGAATCGCCCATGTACCGACACGTCAGTTCCGTGCCAAACAAGTAAACCACATTTGTTAAAATCATGACAGCATATTGTTAAAGCTTAAATCCAACCATTAACCCTTTAAGGAAAATATTAGTTTGGAAAATACATGCAAGCAATTGGTTAAAAGTAGTAAAACCATGCTATTAAAATGTCCAACTTAAAGTGATGCTTTGGAATTTTTTAGTCTTATTTTGAAGGAGAAGCAGACAGGACTACTAACACAAAATCAAAGCAATGCACTGCAGTGGATGGGGTCAGCAAAAAACATTTTAGCCACCTAAAAAAAACATAAGTTTAAGTGTATGCTATATTGACAGTATTTTCACTGCTTTACTTTTCCACCAAACAGTTTCCAACAGGACACTTTTTCATTAATGTCGGGCTCCACTGAGGAAAACAGCCGTTTAATATCGCTGAACACAGGAGCTGCTGGTCATTGTGTGACTTTGGTGAATTTGAAATAACCCTTTTAAATGACAAAGTTTAAATAAAATAACTGATCGAGACAGCGGCAGACCAGCAGTTCCTGTGTTCAGCGATGTTAAATTGCCGTTTTTCCTTAACATTAATCAAAGCAATATAATGGCTTCAGTTCCCCATTGGAAGTCGCTGCCTGGTGTAAAAGTAAAGCAGTAAAAATACTGTCAATATAGAATACACTTAAACTGCTACTGATTTTTTTCAGTTAGTTTTCGTCATTGTGACTGTTGAGTCTGAAATAACCCTTTTAAACACCAAAATTAGTCTTTCTCAACAGTCTGGTGGCTTTGACGAGAACATAGATGTAGATCTGAAGCCGTTAACAGCTTCCCCATTTGAATGGGTCGTCCAATGGAAAGTTTAAGTGGTGAAAATGCTCTCATTATAGCGTACACTTAAACTGATGTGGCCAAAATACATTTTCAGACTGACCCCTATCGACAGCAATACATTGCTTAGCTTCCATTTCAGCACGCCTGCCCGTTCTCCAAACTCGGGGCATACTGATATACATTTACTACACGGTTTATGGATAAATACCTCGTACAATCCCACTTCAAAAAAATCTTAACTATCCCTTTACCGTGGTGAAGATACAGTCAATCTGCCCATCTTTACTGTCTCAAAGCTCGAATTCAGCCATGAAGCACACAGCTGAAATTGTTCATCTAATATGGCAAAGATCTTTGGAGATAAATATTTTATTCATACATTATTAAGTGTAAGGACGTTTGTGCAATACAGCCCAAAGTTAATTTTTAGTTATAAAATTTCCTTAGTCTGAATTCAAAGAAATCTTACAAGATGCAAAAAAATGACTCAAGACAAAGTAATGCATTTCAAGAAGCAGCTGTATTCGACTATAAAGGCATTTCTAATCCAGTGTCTCTAAGCTGTTTTCTTAATATTTCAGTGTAAAAAGCCTAGACTCTATTAGAAAAAAGAAACAGTAAACCCAAAATAACATTTCATAAGAAAACAATCATTGAAAAAAAGGAAAACAAAATCCCCATTCACCAGTCATTTCAATTAAAATAGAAACACCATTTCATTTTTTTGCTAACATTTTCCCTCAAAACAAATATATATTTTTCCTTATATATATATATTTATATATTTATTCTCAAGGCAGTTGGTCATGGCCAAATTAATTGACCTCATCATGGCCATTTTTCATGTTTCAAAGTTAGAAAACATAGCTAGAATGGAAGAAAATAACTAGCAGAAGCACAGTGAAGGACCACTGCACTGGCCAACAAATATCTCATTTTGAGTGAGGGAATAGTCTGTCAAGGCAGTGTAGTACACAGACACACTTCCTCTGGAACAAGTGCAATGCAAAGAGAAAAGACTTCTCACTCATCATAAAACTACAACACACTCCTCTTTCACAGCACTCAGCTTGTCCATCAGATTCCCTTTGCTTGTCTTCTCTTCCTCTTAAACTTCTCTATCTTGCAGCAGTGAAGGCTTGTGTTGTGCTGTTTTAGTTCTTAGCCATTGCTGGGAACTGAAAGTCCACTTGACGGAGAGAACCTGCAGTAGTCAGGGAGCTGGGCTCTCTGATCCATCCTCGATTAATGTTTTTCCACCTCCAACTACCATTAGAGACAAGAACCTACTACCAGATGTCTGACCTGAACTATCTGTAGCAGTGTTTGAGGTTGAACAATTGTTTGCCAACTGAGAAGGAGAGAAAACGGATCCCAGCATGCCAGCATCTTGCTATTACAGTAAAAACATGACTAATACATAGTCCCTGAATACTGAAGACTGCTCTATCAGTAAATGGTGCATCTGATAGCAGAAGGGAGAAGACACAAGTAGCAGGATTTCTGCACAAAAGAGGGTTATGATGAGTGTACATGATGACATATTGGAAGAGCAACTGTGGCTGTAGCTATGTGTTCTGATTTGGTTCAAATGGACAGAACGCATAGAGGACACAAGGGGACGGGATGAATGAACAGGGGGAGAGATGGAATAGATGGGATCACTGCCGCAATATTAGTGAGTGATCATCAAAAGTGCCGGATGGCGACGTGAGGAGGTTCCCTGGGTTACCATTTAAATGAAGTGAATATGCATGATGTACACGTAAGCAAGTAAGCTCACGCGTGTCTGTGTAAGAGAGAGAGAAAAGAGAAAATGTGTAGGAGAAAGAGAAATCCCTGGGCTACATGGGAGGGCACATTGGAGGAGAGGTCCCAGCGGTCCTCAACCACCTCCATCTATCACATCCCTCCGTTACACCTGACACTCAGCAGAACTATGTGCTTCTCTTTTGTAGCTCCTGAATAAAGGCTGTGGAGGAAAAGAAGAAAGACAAGGATAAAGTACCTGGAATAATGTAGATTGAAACAAAAAGATTTTTCTTTAAAGAGAGCACAAAGTAATCTCACCTCCAATAATTTCATCCTTGACTTTTTGTAGTTCTTTTCGCACCTCCTCCAGGATCTCCTGCAGAATATTGATTGACAAACAGACTGTCAGTCATGTCACGGTAGTTGAGAAACTACCAAGTTATGCAGTTAATCATAGTGCTGACGCAATAACCGTAATATTGCAATACTGTGCTATTGACAAGCCAACTCCAGGGGATGGCAAGCAACTGCCACAACCACTGCGTTCACAGTTTATTTTTTTTACCCCATGAGGCCAGCCTATTTTTTAGGTGCCAACCGTCTATTCATGGGTGAGAGCTGCACGGACCAGCGGGTGCGTCCTCTCTTCCTAGGAGCTTCAGCCTTTCCTTCATCCAGAGCAGACATTTTTACTTCTATGGATATTCTTATCATAGCAACCAGCTGAAGAAAACGCTAGGCCCCTTATTGGGCCCTTTTGTGTTCTGCCCGTTATCTTTGTCATTTTAAAGCAACAATATATGTAATATTAGCCGAACAATAAAGCTTATTGTGTAGTACTCAAGTCAGGATAAATGAGGTCATTTGTAAAAACAACGACAAAAAAAAAAAAAAAAAAAAGGTGTTAATATCACATATTGTGCCTTTGAGCCATCTTTAATCAACACCAGGAGAATTCCTTCACTGCGACAGCCGTATATAATCAGAGAATGCGTTTACATGCACCTAAGTAACCTGGTTACCCTAAATCCATATATACAGTGGGTCTGTAATATGATTTCTCCCCCACACCAACCTTATTTTGGAGGCATGGTGTTCTTATTTTAACTTTACTGTGAAGAACACACTGCGTCTGTCCGTTTTGCTTTTATGGTGTGTGTCTGTGTCGGAGCAGCAGAGTGACTGCGCAGTTTAAAGGTTCATCAAATCAGCTTACTGGAGAGAAAGCTGACTGTAAGTGCATGTAATCTCCCTCATTCACGTTCAGCTCTTTTGGTGAGTGATAAGAAATTCACCTGTTTCATTTTCTCTAAATCTGAGTCATCCGCTCCGCCTGCATCATTACTGTTGCTGTTGCCACCTGCAGGCTTCGGCCTGTAAGAAGACAAGAGACAGACAAATACAGACAAATAATTATGTTTGTGTTTCAGAAAAAGACAAAAAGGTCCAAGGCGCTGCGTTGACAGGCCAGCCGTCAGTTGAGCATATCACCAGTAGGAGTATCAGAGGGATGAAGGAATAGAGAGTAGAGTTGCAGAAATGTCCACACACCCAAAGATGCCATGATGCTTAGCCTGTCCGAGCTCATTACCTTTCTGAACTGATATCAACCAGGATGCCACCGATATAAAGCAGATGTAAAATTTACAGCGAGAGGACAACATGGACACCAGCGCTCAGAAGTCAATGTAAAAATAAGCATTCATCACACTCTCAGGCTTATTATTACTCAGTTTTCAGAAGGTAAAGCGCTCAGCTGGTACACCTACAAGTCCCTTGGGTGTACCAGGGATGGTGCTATCAACTGTAAAAGAAAAAAAAAAGAAATAAAAAAAAAAAAGCTACCCCAGTAGTCAGGTTGCAGTGGTGCTGCGCTAACCTGAAGAGAAAAGAAGAGCAAGGGGAACTAAGGTCATGAGTGAACGGGACAGCATGTATACCTGTGACCTTGGGACAATGAGGGGGTGGAGTCCATGCTCTTGGGGATGGAGTTATTCCTGTTAGTGAGACACACACACCCTCCTCTTAGAATGGAAATGAAAGACATTCACGCACAATAGCAGGCTTCTCCACAGGCAAATAAAGACACACATGTTCACACAAACACACACACACTGATGGAGAGCTACTCTTAGGGTGAGTTCAAACATGTGACACCAAACACCTGGGGGTCTCAGACTTACTGACGATGGCAACGTGGATATGACTAAATCGTGAATTACCTGATCATAGACGATTTCTCCCAAGGTCTTCTCAGAGTGTCTGAGGAGGAAAATGTACAAACACATAATGTTGATGTTCGCTTTGAATATTACGTAAAATTAATATCAGAATGAAGGTAGGTGGCATGCAACAGATAAAAGTGTTCAGTGCTCACCGCTTTGACCTTGAGGCTCTGAATC